TGGTATCCAATTCTTCCCAAGGGGTGTAGAATCACCCTGAAGCTCTAGAACTCGCGCGGCCATTTCACGCAGACGTGCGTGGGTAGGGGGGAATCCTTGAGCGTCACTCTCAAGTATCCAGTCGACTAAAAACCTCTCTTGCACCGGTGTAAGGCGTTGGTTCGATTGTTGAGCTGTAGAGCGCGATTGCATGCCCTTGAGGCGGTTTTGAAGCGTAGCTCGATTGACCTTGAATAGGGCCGCAGCTTCATTTTGTGATTTGCATTGACCGGTCTCTACGGCATGGATAGCCTGTAGGAGTATCTCCTCTGAATTTGACATCGTAATACGATATGGTGGTTGAGATATTACGCGTTTGGTGATGGTGGTGAAGATGGTGATACTGGCCAAGTAGGTGGTTGGCCAACAGGCAGGGGTTCGAACTTAATTACAACGATATGGGGTACAGAACTGTCAGCGACTGTCATCTGATATCGTACTATGACACGCTACTTACTATGTATCACCATTCACCACTCTTGGATCCTTGGAGGCGTCTCAATAATGTCTCCTCCTGCTGACTACTGACCACTTCAATTCCGCAGAAATTAAACGATTCGAGAACGGGCATAACCCTGGTATTGATATTAATCCTGCGATCTGGCGGATCCCTACCTTTACAAGGTCACCCGTGGTAATACCGACAGCAACCAGAACGCATCCAACGGCAGAGGGATGTCGCGAGGTTGGGACGAGCACAGCGTCCGTAGTTACACCGGGACCTGGATCCTTTTTCTCGGGTGTTGACTGGGTTGAGTGTGGAGATGCTGGATAGATTGCCATCTGTAGACCTGGTTGCATTGGCGTTGTGATGGGTCATCCCAGCAATCACTTGCTTGCCCTATGGCAAGGCGGGTTGGAATCTGGAAGCACTAAGCCGCCAGTGAGTCCAGTCTGCAACCAGTATGGACACTCAGATGATTACGCGGACGTCACATAATCAAGTCAGCAATGGATGCCCAATCCCCACTCATTTGTAGACATATCCCATGGGTGTGCGGCAACCAATATCTGCCTCGGAAACTATTCAGCTTCGAGCCCGTTTCGAGCCCCTGATCCCGTACGTCCTTTCTACATAGCCCCATCACAAAAAGTAGTCCGCCACCGGTTTTTTCGCCGGCATCCCTCTCGAATCCTGCGGCGCCGCATCAAACACCCGATACCTCCTCCCGGGCCCTGGCCTCTGCATCCCGGCATCCGGCGCCTTCAACCCCGGCCCGGGCCCTAAAGCCCCTGTAAACCTCCCTACATCGCCATTGGTGCGGGGGGTAAATCCAGCATTGCTCCCATCCTCCCCAAGCTCAAGAATGGCGGCCACGTTCCCGCAGCGGTAGCAGTAGTTCGGGGCGCTCCACACGGTGACGATGGTGGAGTCGAACATCTCCTTGAAGCCTTCCATGACTAGCTGATGCGCACGCGCGATTAAGCTAAGGTCGTTCTTCTGATTGAAGACCTTGACGATGTCGCAGCCGAAGAGGAAGCCGGCGCCGCGGGGGGAGAGGCCCCAGCCGTCGATCTCGTCCGGGTCGGACCAGAGGAGATCGCACATGGCGCCCTCATGCGGGACCTCCTGCTTGCGGTCGAGGAGGCGGATCTTGTCGATGGTGTCTACGAGGGGGGAGAGGCCGCCGTGCACGCATAGGACGGCGCCGCTGTTGGAGGCAGAGGAGCCGTTGGAGGAGGAGGTGGCGGAGGTGCCGGGGGCGCCGGTGGCGGAGGGGGTGTGAGAGGGTTGGGCGGCGGAGAGGGGGGAGGGGCTGCGGGTGGAGTCGGGTTTGGGGGAGGAGGTTGAGTCGGGGTCGCTGGGAGGTTCGTGGCTGGGTTGGGTGCGGAGGAAGCGGCTGACGATATGGCCGTTGGAGTTGAGGATTTCGATCTCGTTGTCTTCGTCTTCGCTGGGTATCGTGTGGGCTTGGGAAGGGTCGGCGTATTCGGCACCGGTGGATTCGAGGTTGGTGGAGGCACCGGTGACCAGGGCGCCGAGGGCGAGGTAGTCGAATACGTCGCAGCAGTATCTGTACCAGGTCAGTCAGGTGCCGAAAAGGTAGGATCGCATATAAAATCACTGACCTCCACACTGTAGCGCTGCCGTATTTTCTTACGCATTCGTCGTAAAACCCGTAGACCGTCGTTATCTGTCGTGATTCATGATTCCCGCGTATTAGGGTGATTCGATCTGGATATCGGACCTTCAAGCAGAGGAGAAGCAAGAATGATTCCAATGAATAGAATCCCCGATCCACGAAATCCCCTATTCGAGGTCAGCACCCGGAACAATCCAACATATGCGCAATCAGCACCTACCCATGAAAAGGTAGTTGGTCTCTGGCACATCCCCCCCCACCCGAAATAACTCCATCAAGTCATGAAACTGCCCATGAATATCTCCGCATATCTATCCATCACCACATTAGCTCGATCCATCTACACACACATCGGAAAATACCCTACCGTCACCGGCGCATCCACCCCTACCACATTCCCTTCCTCAATCAGCAGCTCCCGCGCTTTATAACACAGTTCGCGAACCTGCGACTCGGGGATCGGTCGGCATGAGCGCAGCTGCTCGATCGCTCTGTTTTCACGACGTCAGCATCCCGGTTTTCGGGGGCGGTGGTGGAGATGCCATACTGGTCGAGGTCGCTCATCTCGGACGCTAGGGCGCGTACCGGCTACGGGAGCCTCGCAATGCGTGGAGCCGCTCGCGTGCTGGTTCGGCGCTTTGGGGTTTATGGAATTTTACGGAAATAGAGACTCCAGGATGGCGATTGTCGCGGGCGGAGCGCGTGGTGAGCTGTCTCGTGAAGTGGATATAGGAAAAGGATGGTATGACTGCTCAGAAACGCTTAGTGGGTGAATCCAGGGAATATTCCAGGTAGGCTTAATGCGGCGTGGGACAGAAACAATGGAAGCAACTTGGTATACCGGGACGCCGAACAAGATCCAAATATGTCGTCGAAGGTGAAACGGGACTGGACACTAGAGGTACGGTCTGAATAATGAAACGATGAATTCCAGTTATCGCATCAATTCGCGATGCCACCGCCACACTGAGCGCCACACGAGAATTACAAGGGTCATCCCAGCATCTCCACCAATCCCGGAGATTTCCGAACCGGTGCAAGTTTCCAGATATCGATCCATCGCAACCTCCAAGCTTGCTGGATCGCCAATTCATCAGCTCGTGATCATCATCCGAAACCACACGTTCACTTCTCACCCTTCCGCTCCTTCAACACTCGTAGCGGACGCGAGTGGACATTCTCCGCGACCGACCAACGCCAATTGCACCGGAAGCTCGACACCTCCCTGAATCACCACACGCAATTTGTTAGACCCTCACGACATCCCCTTCATTAGCCTTCCCCCAACTAACACCACCAGAGCACCCCTATCAACCACCATGCCAACCCACTAGCCATCTCCTCACCACAACACCACCCTCACCGCCGCTCACTCCCCACGATAAACAATGCCACCCTCCCCCCTCCACCCCCGCTCCTCCCAAACCCTCTCCCTCTTTACCAGCACCCTTCTTCTTTCCTTCCTGGTTGTCTCTCTCCCGCATATGATCCCCTGCCCCTCCGACACGGGGCGCCGGCGCGCGTTCGCGGACGGGGAGATGGACGGGGTGTCGGGGTCGGGGAGCGTACGGAATGAGCGAAGAAGGAGGAGGGTGGGAGATGATGGGAGAGGGAGCGGGTGTGTGGTTGCTGGGACGGTTGGGGAGGAGATAGAGAGGGGAGGGGAGGATGGGAGGAGGAGGAGGATAGGGAGGGAGAGGGAGAGGGAGTGTCCGGTGCCGAAGCCGGGAGGGGTTGTGGGGAGATGGATGGGGTGGGAGGGAAGAGGGGAGCGGGAGAGTTTGATTGTGAAGGTAGAGCGAACGAGGAGGAGAGGGGTGATGGGGAATGGGGACGGGCGGGAGGGGGAGTCATGACATTGGTTTTCCCCTGAAAAGGAAATCGTTTGGGAGATGTCACGGGCGTGGGACTGTAGGATATCAATGTATAGGGAGGGCGGAAAAGTTATCGGATATGCTGTCAGGACTATTGTAAATAAGGGAATACTGCGCTGGAAAAGTCGGGTGTAAGCGGAAATGAATACCCCAATCCATGGATCCAAGTTGTTCGCTTTAAGTCCACGTGGAGACTTGGTGGTGGGATTTGTACGATCCGATCCAATTCAGACTACCTGGACTCGGTGGCTGGAGGGATGGGGATGATATTAACTAGATTCACTCCTTCCAGTTGATGCCGTCTCAACCAAGGAGAACAGTGGTAACTCGACTGAGGACCAGACAAGCATAGCAACAAAACCCGGTCGACACGCTGCAACGAAGCAAGGCCAGTGTATATGCACCGCGTCCTGTGCTCTTCACCAGATACTACCGTCCCACATTCAACGCCTCACTACACAAACATCCCTCCCACAGATCCAAATCTTCCAACATTCTTCCATTTATACCTACGCTACGTCATCCACCCACCCCATCCACCCCCATCGCCCATCCATCCATCCATCCATCCACCCACCGTCAACCCCCCTCCCCCTCTCTATACAGCCCCGATACTCTGGGTGTGATGATGATGTGATTCAATAAGAAATTATGCGTGTTGTACGGACGTGGATTACGTGTCGGGAGCGAGAGACAGGAAGGGAGAGCGCGCGGAAATCGGAGAAGGGGATGGTGGACGAATGGAGAAACACCAAAGCAATGGGGGTCGGAGACAAAACATCTCGCGAGACGGTCGACGAACAGAAAAAAAAAGGGGATGGTTGGGTGGGTGTTGCGAAACCAATGCTGTGCTGCTGGGAAAAGGCGCCGAGTCGTCCATCTCTAGAGGGGATAAGAAGAGCGGGAAAAAAGCAAGAAAAAAGAAACGAATTTCATCTTCGTCCCCTGGAAACCTAATAATATCGTGCTGGCGCCGGGTATATCTGAACCACGGCGTTCTCTCTCGTGTAGAAATTCTCGTTTCCTGCACACCCGGGCTAAGGTGGCGTCTTATAGTCGGTGTCATATGCCCGCCGTTCCCCCATCTTGACTATCGGATGCATCCATCCTGTATTCAACTTCCCTCCACAACCATCTCCCATCATTCCGCTCCGTCCTCCTCACATTACTGAGCAGCAACCGCACCTGCGCCTATGATCGTGGCCATCCATCTCCAGCTTTTGCGGGCCGTTGCCGGTCGGCACGCCGGAGCCGTACTTGGACATCTCCTTGTTGTATCTGCGGATCTCGCGGACAATCTCATAGAAGGCCTCTTCCACGTTCTTGCGGGACTTGGCGGACGTTTCGATGAATTGGCAGCCGAACTGTCGGGCCAATTGGGCACCCTCTGTTCAATCTGTCAGCATTGAAACCTCACATTGCAAAGTATCTGGCGGAGTTCTCGATTTTGGAGGTATGTCTCCGCTCGGACTGTGACACCTTCCATCCCGAGAGCACAAACTCCTACATTGGGGACTCCGATACGTTGGACTGGGAAGCAATCGGTAGCACAAACCTTGTGTCGAGACTTCCCGCTCACCCTCCAAATCACACTTATTGCCCACCACGATAATCGGGAAGTAGTCCTTATCCTTCACGCGTAGGATCTGCTGCTGGAAGGTCATAATCTCCTCGAATGATTGCCGTGAGGTTATTGAATAGACGAGCAGGAATCCTTCTCCCGTGCGCATGTATTGCTCTCGCATCGCCGAGTACTCCTCCTGGCCGGCTGTGTCGAGGATGTCGAGAAGTGAGACTTCATCGTCGATGACGCACTGCTTGCGGTAGGAATCTGCGGTGAGTTAGCCTTTGATCGGGACCCGCCAAGCTCGGGGAAGGATGTCGATGATTGGAGATGGCCGTGTGGAACTCGGAATCTCGGACGGGAGGATATGATCGAAATAACGGACCTTCTATCGTCGGATCGTATTCGTCGACGAAGTGGGCTTGGATGAGCTGGATGGTCAGGCAAGACTTGCCAACACCACCACCGCCGACCACTACCAACTTATACTCTCGTAGAAACTATCATGTTGAATGGGGACAAGTCAGCGATTTTGGTCGTCTCGAGAAATTTGCGCAGGTTGGTGTCTGCAGGTTCTCCATGCACCTGGGAGCAAGGGTGTGGGATGTTTGCCCCAGCACAACCGACAAATGCTATGAGAAGGGTAACCGGTGCAGCGGGGACAGAGAGGAAGTATAGGGTACCTTTGAAGCCATAGTGAATTTGAGATGGAGAACGGATACTGCGCGACGCAGGACCTGGACGGAGAAGTGATCGGAGGACGATGAAGACGATAGCTCGAGCGGGACGGTTAGGAAGTGGAGAAGGAGGCTACGGAATGGAGCGTAGGGGAAAAGGCGGCGGAGCAATAGAATGCGCGATGGGGGCTTTGCAATGGAAGTGCACTCTTAGAGCAGCCCACGAGGGATACTACTATGGAGTTGAGAGGGGGAGCTGGAGTTTGCACACAACCAATTGATGAAGAGGATCGGACGGGACAGTCGAAGATTATTGTGATTAACCGATGGGAGGAGCGTTGGAAGCGATGGAGGAATTGGATGGACAGTGGTAATAGTATAAGACGAAGTGGTGGAAATCGAAGGGGATGAATTGTGGCACTCAAAGAATCACCCAAACTGGCGGTTGGAAGGTTGTGGACTGTGGATTGTGGAAGGTGCAGCGTAGAAGGTGTGGGAACTGGGAAGGTGCAGAGGGTGCAAGACTACAAGTTTGGGGTGAAGGCGGAACTCTGGGAGCACTGGGAGGAGTGACTACCAAGGTTGGGGGGGGAAGGGGGGAAGGAGCTCTGAATGTAGGTGGGAGTAATGGGCAGTGATTGGCCACACCGCCTGCAAGAGCTGCAAAGCTGCCTGGATGCCCTGGATCGATGCAAGAGCCATGTGCAGACTATTGTGCTGTCGCATTATTCATGCTGGCATTGCTTCACCTCTACTTCTCTCCCCATTTCCTCCGTATATCGAATCCATTGGAGATTATGTGGGATTAGAATTGTTTGGTGATGAGATGCCCTAATGGTCCTTTCATAGAATCCATCACATCATCAATTGTAGGTTGGTGATTGTTCATATCGTGTGGTAAAACCATGTCTACCCATGGATCATCACCTACATGGCTAGTCCATTTACTGCTCCTCCGCCTCCACCAGTCTCAAGGCAAACCCCCACTAATAAGAGCGCTTGCATTGAACTCGATCTTGACATTGTATGGCCCAAAATCTCATCAGCTGAATTATATCGAAACATCCTCCATCCATTCAGAGTCTCAGGCTCTTAAGGAGATATCATCTTCCAAAAGCTTTCTTTCCCTAAGCCCTGAACTCCCCACCGCCTAGCAAAAGTCATATCCACAACTCAGACCACTACGGGTCGATTCATGCAGTTCGAAAACCCCAATCTGGATAAGATATGCAAAGGGAATCAACCCACGCTAAACCTCATGCATCGAACTTCCCGAGCCGTTTCTCTTGTTTCCTCCGCAGTCCGCCCTTTCCTTGCGACTTCGCCCACGAGGAACTGGAACGCCATCACGGAATTTACAGAGGACCGTTACGTGGAAAGCATGGATCACGAAAGGTTTGCTTTCACAAAGCGTAAGGGAAGAAATCCAGACCGATGGTGAAGAGTTTTCCTCAGTCGGCCTCCTATCGTCACCGCAAGGGACTACTTCACCAATTCCTTCTGTCCCCAAATAAATCCAGCCCTCTCCCACCGCCCAATAAACCGCCTGCCCTGAGGGCTGAGGCCTTTACTATGTATGGTGTGTGCACAATGCATCGACAATCGAGGCCGGCCTATTCGTCGCGTTTACACCACTCCCGCCTTTGTTGAGATCTGGGACGTAGGAGACCATCGATATGCGAGCGTGACACTGCATGATCGATGGGATCGGATGCCTAGGCAAGTCGCTACGGTTCACAGCATCTGCCACCGGAAGTCTTGCTGGGTCGAAATATCACCCTTTCCTCGCAATCGTGCCCCCCTCAACGCGGGAGAATCGCGATCGGCAAAGCCCTTAGAGATGAATGCCGCTCCGATTTCCGCCATCGGTATTCGGTGGTTGGCTGGTGTCGATCCAATAAAGAACATCTACATCCATGCGCTCCGATGCAGCTCTTGTTATTAATACTTGATAGGGGCTGGGTGTTTGGGGATCCGATATGGCATCACAATCAGTTATCAGACCTACCTAGATGGCGTATGCAAACGGAATAGGACCGGGTCAGGGTCCGCGGCGGAGCGGACGGTCTTGAGAAACGGCTCGAAGAATTAGGTTTATTCTCCGGCTGGTTTTGTCTCCACAACGGGAAAGCCTAATAACACCTCTATTGAAAGAACCTCTTGTAGTTAACTAGTTATGCTTTCCACTGCTTAATTGCTCACTATCTGCCCTCCCAGCCTCCCATAGTACATCCATCCATCCCTCCCAAGTCCCAGCCCCCCTCACTTCTTCCCAAGGTGCAAACGTCACCCACCCCGGCAACACAACCTGTCCCCGTCCACGTTCTCCCACAACTAAATCGGCAACCAGGCCTAGCCGACTAGCCCCCCAGGGCCCAGCCCCAATCCCCCGCCCCAGGACCTCACCGTGATCGTTGCGCCATCGCCATCCGTACCCAACCATCCATGCCAACCCTCCCCCGCCCGGCTCGTGTCGCGGCCGTGAAGGTCGCCGAGCGGGAATATCGGAGCGAAGAGCCCGTCGATTGGTAAGGAATAGGGATGAACGAAACGATAGAACTGTAGAAATACAGAACCGGCAAAGGCGGGTATTCTCACTTCGTTGCGTGCTGGGATGGGGTGGAGAGGATTAGTGGATGGGGAAGTTTATGTACTGATGGTAGGTAAACGAGGTAGATTATAGATATGGCGTTGAAGGTTGGGCGAGATTAGGTTTTGTTTTTTGGAAGGGGTTCTGGAAAACATGCCGATCATCCGCGAGGGGGGGAGCAAATCACACCAATTGCAGTGCCATTGCTCTGAATGAACTCTTACTGTCCTTGATGGCTTTCAATCGAAGCACCCCGTCACAGTGGTGTCACTGCTGTTGTTGTTTCTCGTCTGCGGTAGGAGCTCGAAGCGGTGTGCTCATGTCTGGGACCGGCTTTCTAAGCGCCGGCCAGGCTGGTCAGTCAGTAGGGTCGGTGATGTTGTTATCTGATGTTAGTGCCGTCGTGATTAGTACCAAGTGACTTTGTCCTCGGAGGTGGGTGGAGGGTGATGAACGAGGGCGCAGTGACGAATGAGAGAGCGAACTTCCCCTATCTTAAGAGTTGCCGCTTCGATCACTCATATCACCCATCAATACGTAAATAAGGTAGGTTTGCAGATAAGTATAGGTATCCGAGATCTGCTCTAGCTTCGCTAGGTAAGGAGTTGGAGTCAAGCACAATATGGTTTGAAAATTTTATAGCTCTGGAGATGATGCTTTGGTGGGTATCTATATTTGTCTCCCAACCCCTTTGCCCTCCTTTGCCCATGGGTGATGGAAGTCATGCACATCATGTAAGGTACTATATGCATTCGATCTCCTGTGGGAACCATGCTCCCAGTGAAGATCAACCGTCATATCTGTATAAACTCTAAACTGCTCGTGCCCACGTCATCGTCTCCCTCATCCCTCGATAAAATCGCCCCGAGAGATGATCATACAGATGCCTTCGAATAGCTCTCACCATCGCCACCTTTCCCGGAACCGTGTCGTGAACCGCATCGTGAACCTGTCCGCACTGCACTCCGTTTAGTAAACTCCCACAATAACCACACCATCGCTCATCGCTAGAAATTCTTATTAAACCCATTCGTCTCATCATCCTGACCTTCATAATCCACCTTCTTCCCCTGGACCCCTCCCTCCACCTCCGCCACCAAGCCGTCCATGAACGCGCGATCGCGCCCTACCAACGTCACTGTGTTGTGTCGCTTCCCCCAGCGCGGATAGCTTCCGACCTTGATGCCGCGCGGCTCGACCTTCGCGGCAAGCTCGGTGAGGAACGGCGCCACCTCTGATTCGGGGAGGGGCGTGGAGATGATGATGCGGTAGACGCCTTTGCCTTCGGGGTCGGAGAGGCGGGGGACGAGGCGGGGTTTGTAAGTGTCGAGGATTTTCTCGAAGAGCTGGGGGGGTTAGTGGTGGGATTTGGAAGCATGAAGGGGATGGAACGTACTCGGGGCACGCCAGGGAGGATGTGGATGTTGCCGTTGACGACGCTGAGCGGCACCCAGAGGTCGTCGGATACGAAGATCACTTGATCGGAGTCTGGCTTCGATGTGTCATACGGAATTTCTACCATTCGTTTCTTCGCATTTAACGCTGGCGACGGGACGTCCCAATCGAAGTTCGCTTGGGACGGATGCGGTCTTGAGAGTTTCTTCATGCGCGCGAAGGCCTCGTCGTGTAGGGTTAGAGGAAGGTTGAACGCCTTGGCTATGGATTGGTAGGTGATATCGTCATGTCTAATGGTCAGAAGATGTCAGTGGAAGCCGGAGACGGGGAGGGATGCAGCTCACGTCGGTCCGATGCCGCCGCTAGTGACGACGAAGTCGTAGTTCTTGCTCATCCGCCGTACCGCTTCGATGATCTCGTCCTCCTCGTCGGCGATCACTTCGATTCGCTTCAGGTTGATGCCTAGTGAGAAGCAGTATCGGGCGAAGTAGGCGGAGTTCGTGTCGACGGTCTGTTTGCAGGTCAGCTTGGAGCTCAAAGTCGATGGATCGGACCTAGTCTCTCACCTTGCCTCCAAGCACTTCATCCCCGATGATGAGGGCGGCAGCCGTCTCGATCGGTGAGACATTCGCGGCTGTTACGGGGGTCGCCATCTTCCGAGCGGTGGGTATTGCAGTACTGACAGGCGTGGATATGTGCAGGGAGTTTGGTCGCGGCTTGATCAATTGTCTTCCCAATTGATTTAAGCGGGGTAACATGAGGATATTCACAGGTTAGATGACAGATAGCATGGCAGAGAAGGTTGAAAGGATTCCGAGAAACGGTTCACAGCAGAGCTTGATATCACGACAGCGGAAGCCTGGATGGGTCTAGCTTCGGTGGGATGGTGAATTCATGAGTGAGCTGTGAGAGCGCCGAGCGGTCAATCTCGGAAGTGGGGTGCTCATTGTTGTGCAGAGAGGGGCACGTGGGCTTTGTGTTGAACAATAGCAATATCATTGTCAACAGACATCAACTATATTCACAGTACTGGTATTTATACATCATTGTTACGATTCATCTTATATAGTACGGGCTTGGATCCCTCCAGCCAAGCTTTTCACGTAATATACAAGGTGATTGTTTGCTGGTTACACCGCCGCGCTCCCTCCAACTCCAACCCCCCCCCGCAATCATGGTATGTGTTCTTGAGCGTCTTATCATGGAAATGAGTTGATCAGGTATTATAGGCATCAGAGTCACGGCTTTATACCTTCTCCCAGGAGACAAAAGATAGACTACGGAAATTCCGCCTAGGAACCTCTCGTGCAAAGGATCCTCAGGCGGTCATTTGTATGGACATCCCTTGTCTGTTCCGTTATATTGAGTCATTTTCAGTCATTGTCGACAGTCTTGTAATCGAGTCTGCTTCTCTACTATCATTCGATTTCCTGTACATCAGATCGGGGTGTCGACTCAAGAGTTATGCTTTACGATCACATCATTTGCCATCTGTTCGGCTGCAAGTGGGAGGACAATGGCTTATCACATCTTCCGTAGATTCAATCGACAAAAAAACCCTGGAAATATCCCCCGAAGATGGAGAGGTGTACACCGACATATCTGCCTTAGGGGATGAACTACCCGATCACGCGCCTCGATACGTCCTATTATCCTATCCACTCACCCTGGTACGAGTCAACGCCTCAGCGACATTCTCCTGTTTCTTTTGGCACATTCACCCAGGTCGTTGATACTAACCCAGCCGCAGCCCTCCGGCCGCCTCTCCGTCCCCTACGTCATGCTCTATTACCTACCGGTCAACTGCAACCAAGAGGTACGGATGTTATACGCCGGCGCCAAGGAGCTCATGCGAAGCACGGCGGAGGTGGGAAAGGTCGTTGAGATTGAGGAAGTGGAGGACTTGGAAAGTATTGAAGAGAAGCTACTGGAGGGTGCTGATTAGATGATGTCGAGCAATTGCTTCCCAGTCTGTGGTTGTTCTTGTTGGGGTTATACGATCGAGTTCAGGAGGAGTCTGTACTGGATCTATCAGAGGACGTTTGGGGGCAATGGCGTTGGAACAGGTGTCTCCTCCTTGTCTCAGAATTGGATAAATGTTTGACATGACACCTCCCGCTCCTAGGGAGCAATAAAACATGTGTAATGCCTTGCGGTCAACCATCATCGGAACAGACGGAACTAGACGAGATACTTCAGCTTGATTGGATTCGCATAGGTAAGTATCCGCATCTCGATGCATCGCCCAGGGAGTCACCAGCCACGCGTAGGAACCAGATGCCCCTGCAATGACGTCTCCTGTCACCTAGGCTCTTCTCTTCTGCACCTCTGCAGTCTCATTCGCGAGCAATATAGTATTGAGTCATATTCAGGAGGGCAAATTTACTCCCACACGAAGAACAGCCGCGGCAGTGGCCTCAATTCTCTCGAATCCAGTCAAACGGGTCACCCTTAGCCATGGCTGCGGAACGGATGCCTGTTTACGCGTCTGTATGAACGACCTTGCCACGCTGAATCGCCTACGCCTCCGAAACCGGTGTTGCCGCGATAGGCCAGGAAACCTTACTCAGACTGCATTTGCATGCGGGCCCACGATGGAATTTTGCCATCATGCTGTGGAATTGTGTCTGGTGTGGCTGATGCGTCTGTAATCGACAGGACCCAGCAGATCCGGTGGCAATGAACAGACCCAAGCACCCAACCGCACCTATCGGAGACATCTCAAAGTGTGGCTTTACCTCGAACATTTGGCGCCTGCGTCACACGCCACGGCTTCACGCGACGAGCCAAGATAAATGGAAGCAGCCAGGAACTATTCAAACTAGACAGTATGGTTACACATACGGTTGGATACGGCCGATGCAGGCGGACCCCGAGACACGAACCAATGACGATAGAGAGCCTCCGAGTTGCTAAAAGAAATCACCGAGATACTAGTATCTGTATTCTAATTACGGTCGGGAATCAGTCCCGAATTTGGGATTTTCAACGACCTGGTAAATGGTGATATTACTTGAGCGCCACTGGAATCCTAATGATCTGTCAATGACGTCCCTTGCAATTAGGTACCTGTATGTAGTACCATGAGGACATCCTCTACGGCTTCGATGGAAACTAGAAAGGGGACAGTGTTAACTTTAATCATTCGGCAGTGATCTCCGAAAAAATCGTTGATGGAGCAGTGCCCAGTGGACCAGCCGACCAGGGCATTTGGCGATCTTACATACATACCAGGCAACTTTCCAGAAGGGCGCTAGAACTCATCAAACAACCCTGAATCAACTCCCAACATTCGAATCATTCCGATGCTACTTGACCTACTCCGTATTCGCGTCGATGATGCGTTTCTTGAGGTCCAATCTATCCGGGAATATGAACCCCGAATGGGAAGTAAAACGCAATATGCAGAGCGGCTAGAGCCGGCTGAGATGTCATGATACCAGACGAATTGGGATATCGAATCTGAGCAGGCAACGTCGTCTGTCGTCATCGCCTTCGACATGGAGATCTTCTACGTAGATATGAGATATTGACATTTGATGGCATATGTTTTTTACCAAGAAGTGGTTTGACAAATCGCGGCATGATCGACGCCGGGGTTGGCCGGCTGAATGGGACAATTCGGCTGTCAGGAACCTCAAAACTGAATCAAATGTCCCGGGATCTACTCCGTACATTTGGACTTTTGTGGCCGAGTCGTTTGCCTTCGGTCCTGTCCTTACTCCTGCAGGCTGCAAGCCCTCCGAAGTTCAGAACTGTACCCCTAAACGGCCTAATAACCATCCCTTTCAAGCGTGGCGGCAAACGACAAAGCCAGGGAAACCAGAAAACCCTGAAAATATCGGTGGATCCGGAATGCTTTCCTTACTTGACCCCAACACCCGCACGGCTGTCCACGAATAACCAAGCTCCTTGTCTTCCCCTTGGCTGTGGGTGGCTATATTTTCCATCCAAATCAACGTAAAATTGTGCGTGGTGGCGGTGAGACACCATGCATATTGCCTCAATTAGCTGGATCGGGTACTGTTAAAGAGTTTGCGTTCATGTCAGATCGTGAGAGGGGAATCATCCTCTTTACCATCTTCAGTCCCAGCTATTAAGCTCAACCATATTCAACCCTAGATTAAGAGCGGACTAGTCTGGACTTAATTACCCCATTCGATTTTGGCTGCTATATTTGAATATCAGAGTTCCTCGCTCGTCGATGACCATGTCGTCTGTCGATGCTCAGTTAATACCAGTGAGAAGGCTGAAACAATAGGAAAATCTTCCTAGCTTCCCATATTATCACACAACCTCATGAGAGGTTGGAAGAGTAGAGGACGATCCGAAGCTATGGATGAGGTATGTTAATAAACGGTGGACCGCATGGCGAGTCATAAGCTCACGAATGGCAGAGAAACAGCGCCAACCTGGCGCGCATCCGCGACAATCAACGACGTTCGCGCGCTCGTCGGAAAGAGTATTTACAAGAGCTGGAAGAGAAATACCGTCACTGCGAGCAGATGGGCGTGGAAGCGTCGGCCGAGATCCAGGCCGCCGCACGAAAGGTCCTGGACGAAAATAAAAAGCTGCGCGCCATTCTGCAACAGCGTGGGTTGTCGGATGCCGACATCGATCTAATGATGCAGACGGAGCCGACCACCGCGTCCGTTCCATCTCCGATACACGACGAAGGGGGAAAGGCTGCCGGCGCCAACTTGGCGACGCTCTTGGCGACGAGGAGACGATGCAAACCCGCGATACCGATGTTATCGAGGCGATCGTCATCTCAAGATTCGGTGTCGCGATCTAGCTCACAGCCACCGACAGCGACGAACATCCTCCCAGTGCAACCAGTGCAGACATTCCAATTACGCGGTTCACCTTCACAGCCACCTTCCCCCTCATCGTTCCTTCAACCTACAAATCAAACCACCACCAAAGGGCAAACTTCCGCTTCCATCGAAACCGATACGTCGGTCTACCATCCATTTTCTTCGCAACCCTCGACCGAGTCACCGATCAACGAGATAACCCTCCCATCCCATTCCGCCGAGCCACCATTCGCAGTTCCCTACGTTCGCCCCCCGAATTTTCCACCGGACTCCTATCACACTCTATCGAACCCGTATTCTACCCAACAATACTCTGTCCACTACTCCGTCCCGTCCCAAGTTCCCCCAACCCATAGTGCCTATTACCACCCCGACCCTTTCACCCACATCTACCCCACCCGCCCAAACCCAAACCCCCAGCAACCACCCTCCTTACCAACCAACGTCCACACCCCAATCTCTTCAGTCGACACCGCCTACCCTCCCGACTCCACATCCTGCCTCTACGCCGCCTCCATGATCCGCAGCCAACGACCCGGCGCGCAGATGGGCCAGGAGGTGGAGACAGAACTAGGGTGCGCGAGCGCGGAGCGCGATTGTCACGTACAGAATAGCGTGGTGTTCGACGTGATGGATCGGTATTCGGGGTTGGGGGGGATACAGTAACGCGCTGGGTGCGGTGAGGGGTTGACCTTGAAGATAGCGTTTGAGTAGGCGAAGGGGTAGAATACGAGATTTGGACAAGCCTGATGCGAACCGAACGTTGACGATGAATGATATATGACGGTGGAGATGGATACTGGTCGGACCTAAAGACAGCGGGACGATGCGCAGAGCGCGGAGGAGTTTTCCGCGAGCCAGACACCAATCGGATGGCAGAGACGCGGACGAATATCCCATTTTCGGTTCACGAACAGCTGATACGAAAGTTACGAAGCGACGCGCCGCTCAGCGGATCCACCGCGAGCAAGATAGACTTAGATCCATGCCCCGTCTCCAGTGTGGAGGCTGCAAAGATCAATGCTATTGGGTCCGGTACCCTGAGCTTACATGTTCCACATTCCCTTGTACGATTACATGTATGATAAAGTCTCCCGAAGAGTCACCTACATCAATGAAATTAGACGTAAATGCAACGACACACCCATCCAGTGCGTGCGAGTACGCGTGGTATCGCGAACCAACCTAGAGTGGATCTAAACATATGAGATCATTTTACAAGTCATCCCTTACTCCCTCTCATCCAAACAAAACAAATCATCCGCCGTCGACCCCCGTCTTCCACTCGTCCGCTTCGTCGCCGCCGCGTCCGCATCACACCCTCCCACATCGACTCGAAACGTGTCCGCGAACGCCGTCGCTGCGTCGATAGTCGCAGACATCTTGGTTTCCTCACCCGCGTGTGAAAGGAGCGGGAGGTCGATGAGCTCGGGGAGGTCGCCGTCCCATGGCAGCAGCACGTGGAGCGGCTGGGAGTCGGCGAGCGGGAGTTCCGTGTGCAGAGGGGTGGAGGAGAAAGATGCTGGGAGGAACGGCTCGGATGGCTCGGAGAGGTCGGGTGGGGAGGAAGTAGGCGGGTCACGGGGGAGGCCTCTTGGGTTCGGGGTGTCGGAAAGCGGGTCGGGGAGGTCGAGATTGGCGGGGGGGAAATCGTCAGGTGGGTTGGAGAGTTCGGTATGCACGGTCACCAAGGAGTGGGAGGCGCTGAGGAGGCCGGGGTAGAGCATCGAGTAGCCGCGCGCGCGCATCAGTTCAAGGAAATATTCCGTCCACGCGGGCAACGTTGGGGACACGATCTTGGTGCGTGGGGAGGTTTTCTTGCCGTCGTGGAACGCGGAGATGCGTTGGGTGAGGAATGATTGGAGTTCGAGCCATTTGTCGCCGAAGTAGAGGGCGGCGTTGGCGTTCGGTGCTTGCCAAAGGAAGGGGGCGGGGGAGTCTTTGCTGGTGTGGTATTTCTTGCTCCGGATATCGGAGCTGAGGGGTTGGGTGAACGGAGCGGAGCCGTTGAGATGCGTGTCAGGCACGTCCAGGCTGATTCCCATGAGCGAGGAGGAGACCTGGCCGTATCGGTACTCGAGAAGAGTAAAGTATAGGTAATGGTAGAAGGTGGGGGATAGCTGCGTCTGCGCGGAGACGACGAAGACGGCATGGTTTCCCGGCTTCGAAGGGAAGAATCCTTCCATGAATCGGAGAGAGGATTCTTCAGGGGTGAGGTGTCGGCTTGGGAGTCGACGACGGAGAATGAGCTGATTGGGTCGCCGACTGGTTGATGGGGAAGAGGAAGGGGGTGGCCATTCGAGATTGTCCAGAAACATGAGTGTGAACGGCTCTGCATTTGCGGGGAGCTCGATGATCAATCGCGGCGTTGGAAGACCTTTATAGTCTGTCGCTTGCAATGACTTGATCATTCCGATCAATGATCCAGACGAGTCCGTGGGTGCATGAACGAGGATGTCGATCGTCGGGATATTCCAGGCGCGCAACGATGAGGAGTCCAGCCTTGTAATCCACCTTAGACTCTCTGCCGCCTTTCTCGGGATCTCGATCAACGAGAGTCCAAGCTCATGCACCTTCGCCCGAATGCCAGTCACGAAGAACGCGTCTTCCTCCGTCGGATCATCGATGATCACGGCCCTCGGAGACAAAACCATATTGACATGCATGATCGCGGCCGCGATACTCCTCTGCGCTCTTTTTTCCGTGCTGTATTCCGCGAAGTCCGATCTACCGTCATGCCACATAACATCGCATGTGGCCGGGTCCACCCCATTGATTTCCTGGACGTCCTTCAGCGACAAGTTGTTCCGTCCGAGCAGTATAATGTGCACGTAGTTCCTGTCCCAATGTGCCATCTCACATGCCATTGGGATGAGGCTCGACGCGCTTTTGAGGCTCGACGCGGCGAAGAGGACATGGCGGCTGTGCTTCTGTCCGCCGTAGGGGTGGTCGATGTGCCGGAGTGACGCTGCGAGTCGGAAGAACCGTAGCGGACCATCGTAATAATGTTTATTCGGAATGTTCGCCTGGACTTGATCGTCATGACCAACCGGAGGCCGGCCGGTAGGTTCTTCATAAGGCGAGGAGCTGTCCCCGAATGCTACCGTCCACTCTGTGAACCCGCCTCGACGAGTGACGTAGAACACAAGAGCGCATATCAGGAATATCACCGGGACAATCCGTCTCCTCCTGCACCGGTATCGTAACGGCCCGCTCCCTGCCATCGACCCTCTCCTTCGCCACGGTTGTTTGCGGTTGTCGTCCCGTTTCCCTAGCTCTTCGTCTGTAGGGAAGAAGCGCGACGGGACCATGCTGGGGCTCCTGCGAGCCCGCCAGGTTTATTTGGTCAGCGTACTCTGGCCCTGCTCACATCGCTCGACTGCGATATCGTAAGGTGGTTTGAGGAGCTGCTCGGCTTCGAGAGGTGAACTGTGTGTATACAATACAGCTGCAGTTTGCTTCATGGAATCATGGTCCCTTGCAGAACGTTGGATCTGCAGGGGAATTGAACGAATTCATGGCTCAGTGGGGAAGCTGTTTCGGTGGACGGAGGAAACCAGGCGCGCAATATATAAGTACGAACTTCGGGATGACTCCAACTCACCATTGTGCAATCGGTCGACATGCGATACTCTCCGATTTCGAGGAGTCGGAGAACCAATCGATGGCATATCAAATGCCTGATTAGATCCGTACATAATCACTCATCGCCTCTCGTTGACATCAAGAATGGTACATTCTACCGTTCCTATCCCGCTTCGGTACATCCGACAGCCGGAGACCAGGTTGAGTCCAACATAGACCCAACATTATTCTCCGGGCTAAACTACTCGATCCCTTCATTCCCACCTGAAAGACAAAACTGGTGTGTGCTATCTACGTCGTCGGCAGCAAGGACCGCATTCCTCCATGTCCTTCAAGGTCAATATGTCTGCCTCCCGCCAACGGCGCGGACATTTCCGTACCTCTCCTCCCCTGAGGTCACAGCAAAAGATTCACGACTCCGGTCGCCTTCCATCGCCATCCAGTATGTTGGATTCGATGCCTCTGAACGGAACGTAGGACACAGTAGCCTCCGCGGCGCCTACCTGAGCGCACGCTACGAGGCGCGGCGCGAGGTCACCGACTTCTCGGTGCGGAACTTCCTGACGGGGGACACGGAGCTGAATCCGGACGAGACCCTGCTGGCAGAGTCACGGCCGCCTCAAGAGCTGCTTGAGGATATTGCGGAGCGGCTGCGGTTGAAGCCGTTGTTGGAGATGCCGCTTAGTAATCTGAGCAATGGGCAGATGAGGCGGACGAGGGTGGGCAAGGCGTTGATGGGGAGACCGGAGTTGTTGCTGTTGGATGGGCCGTTCATGGGGTTGGATCCGAGGACGGTGGTGAAGCTGTCGTCGGTGTTGCAGAACTTGGCGGATCATCGGAATCCACGGCTCGTGCTGTCGTTGCGGCCGGACGACCTCATTCCGGACTGGGTGTCCCACGTCATGTTTGTGGGGGATGATTTCCGCGTGATTTCCCAGGGGCCGAAAGAGGAGGTGTTCGAATATATCCGCGTGCAGCATGAAGCGATCGGGCGACTTCATCCGACCGGGGTAGATCCGAAATGGAGTCAGGTATGGGAGGTTGGCTCAATCCTCGGGCTGAACCGGTCGCGTGTCCCAAGAGCGGTTCCTCTCGAACAGAAGCAACCTTCTAAGGACCCGAAATATGACCCGATTCCGAAGACGAGCATTGACGGATTCACCTTGGAGGACACGACCCTTGCGCCGATAGGCAAGCCGCTGGTAGAGATGAAGGGCGTGAAGATCAAGTACGGCGACCAATCCACCGCAGTCCTCGGCAACTGGACCAAGAAAGTCGGCGGCAAGGAGCGCGAAGGGCTCTGGTGGACGGTCCGACAGGGCGAACGGTGGGGTCTCTTCGGACCCAACGGATCCGGGAAGACCACTGTGATCTCCCTCATCACCTCCGACCACCCCCAAACGTACTCCGCGCCTGTCCAGCTCTTCGGTCGCTCCCGCCTCCCCTCCCCCGGCCAACCCGGCATCTCCGTCTTCGACATCCAATCCCGTGTCGGCCACTCCTCCCCTGAAGTCCACGCCTTCTTCCCCCGCCACCTCTCCGTCCGCCGCACCATCGAGTCCGCCTGGGCCGACGCCCCCCTCGCGAAACCCAAGCTCTCCTACGACCGCGACAAGCGCGTCAGCTCCGTGCTCCGCTGGTTCCAAGCCGAGCTGAACCCCGCCCTCGAGCCCCCGGCCTGGCAGCAAGTTCAGATGTACCGCTTCCGCCCACCCCAGGAGAAGAGCCTGCGCGCCGCGGCGGCACGCCACTCCACAGGGACGGCCGAGGAGTCGATGGATCCCGACGAGGTGTCGTCGGCGCGCCTCCGAGCGCTGATCACGGACCTCAACCGGGCGGAGAGCAGCGACGCGGACGTGGGGTGGGCGGACGAGATGAGGTTCGGGGCGCTTTCGTTCTCGGCGCAGCGGGTGGCGCTGTTCCTGCGGGCGATCATCGGGCGGCCGGATCTGGTGGTGCTGGACGAGGCGTTCAGCGGGATGGACGAGTGGGCGCGGGGACGGTGCCTGCTGTTCCTGGCGCATGGGGAGCGGAAGATCCATCGGCGGGTGAATCGGGAGCGGATGATGAGTGCGCGGGCGGGGGTGGATGAGAGTGATCTGGCGCGGTTGGGTAGGGTGACAGTGGAGGGGTTGGGGGCGGAGCAGGGGTTGATTGTGGTCAGTCATCGGAAGGAGGAGGTGCCGGGGTGTGTTCGGGAGTGGATGTGTTTGCGGGAGGTGGGGGAGGGGCCGCCGAGGGTGGGGAGGTTGAAGGGGCCGTTGGAGATGGGCCCGAAGAAGTGGTGGGATGAGATCTGGGGGGTGTGATGTCGTTGGTATTGATATTTCCCTATTGCACCGAATAGACAATAGTAGCGTTTTTGGCCATGACTCGATTCCGTTCTTTATATCCTCTCCTCTACCCCGTCCCCATCTCCCCCTACGGACTTAACCGCTCAATCCTCCACCCCTCACCCTCCCTCGTATACAAAAACCGATCATGCAACCTCCCCTCCCTCCCTCCCCAAAACTCGACCTCCTCGGGCACCACCCTCCAACCTCCCCAATGCCCCGGCACCTCAATCCCCTCCTTCCCCTCCCACCGCTCCTTCTCTTTTTTCACCCGCTCCTCCAACTCCTTTCTATCCTTCAACACCTCACTCTGCCGACTCGCCCACGCACCCACCCGACTTTCCCGATTCCGCGTATCGAAATACCGCTGCGCCTCCTCCACTCCCACCCGCTCCACCGCCCCCGTCACCCGCACCTGCCGCTCCAACCCCGCCCACCAAAACGTCAGACACGCCTGCGGATTGGTCCTCAAATCCGCCGCCTTCCGCGAATGCTCGGTATTGCTATAGATCACGAACCCCCGGTCGTCGAGCTCTTTGAGGTAGACGGTGCGCGCGGACGGCCGGCCGGACGGGAGGGCGGCGGTGGAGAGGACGCAGGTTTCGGGTTGGGGGAGGTGGGCGCGCTGGCCGGCGGTGAAGAGGGTGTGGAATTGGGTGAGGGGGGAGGGGGAGAGGGTGGGGAGGGAGAGGGGGGACGCGGAGAATTGGTGGGCGTGGGGAGCGGTGGGTGAGTCGGTTGGGGCGAAGATGAGTTTGGAGGAGGGGGAGGGGGCGTCGTTTTGGGGGGATGACATTGTGGTGGAGGTGGTGGTGATGGGGTGGGTTCGTAGGCGCTGTGGAAGTGGTAGTGAGATGAAGATTCTTGAGGTTGTGGTTCGGATCGGTGGAATGCGCATGGAGCAGTATTGATTGTATAGTTGTTCGTGATGTTGAAGCCTTGGAGGAGAATTGAAAGTTTTTTTGTTTGGTGGTCGGATTGGAACGGAGCTCTCATGAGATATGATTGATGTCACTTGGTGGGGTGGGGTGCCAATTGAGGTGCCAAATCTGTCGCCATATGGTGGCTCGCTAGTCGCTCTGGAGGCGGCTAGAACCGCCTGGAACGGCACCCTACCACCGCCCGCTTTGGCCTTGTGCGGGGTATTTACCAAAATGAGACCCCTCGTCATTTGCATCTTCATCAACCAGACTGTGCCGTGCTCTGCATCTCTACTTCATGCCATTGGAATCGAGGATGCATGACGGTACCAATGTCAATGCTTACACCCCCTGATATGCACGAGTCCCATTGCAATGGGAATGTACAACTTTCCCTCAACGTGTCCCACGTCAATTTTCGTCTCAATCCCATCAACAAGGAACAACATCGAAAACCACGGAATAATATGAAACACGTTGGAGGGCGTTTGCCGTTGACACTGAGGAGCACCAAGAATGATGCTAATCCGCCAACGAGTCAGCCATGACGATCATCGTCGTACACGACATCGGCAGTCTGGCATCGATCGGGGTGGTCCGTCTTGTATTGAACTTCATCCGCTTCGGCTTCGGTTGCATTCTGTGAACCCCTCGACACGTCTGCCGACAGCAATATATCCCCATACTATAACCTATATTGCAAAGGGTCATATATAATTATGACCCAACGGCGTCCGCAAGGTCCAGCGGTTTGCCACGATGTCCCCCACCTTACCTGCGACATTGTTCCCAAGCGGCATCAATCCGTTCCTTGGAGAGTGAGTTGGCAAGCTGGGCGGCTGGAAAAGCAGCCGCCCACCTTGCGGCTATGCGGGACACGAACGCGAAGAACGTGTGCAGCTGCGACGGGAATTTATTTTAAGAGGACGAGAAGTCGAGGGCCCTTTCCGTACATTTGGCAGTAGATTTTCTGATTGGGTTCGCGTGCGTCGTGTCCGTCGATGGATGGATGTGCCGTAGAACCGACGTGCTAGGAGGGCGGCGATGGCGATGCGTAGATGCAGCGTCATGCACCGCTTATGCAGCGCTAGCGAGGTGCATGCAGCACGGGATTGATAATATTGATTAGAAGCAGTACATGTGCGTGTCTGGTGGGTGTGGAGTGACTTGATATGTCATATGTTGAGGGGACGGTTGGACGCAGCAGGGTGGAAGAATGCGGGATGTTGTGGACTGTGGTGGTGATGGAGGCGGGTGATACGGCATATCTCTAACCAACACAACATGCCGCTGGAACCCTTTCATTTCTTCATTTCAAGAGCTTTTGCTGTGGGAGATCTCGATCCGGGACATTTTTCTACTACGTAGTATGGATAGATTGAAACGGGAGTTTCACTTTGTCGAAGAATGCGTAAGGCGGGCGGGGATACGAAAGGCCGGGCGGCTGCGGGGCATTTCTGATGGTGGAGTCGTTGGTGATCTCAACTGTTGGAGGGAATACGAGGGTTCGATTTAATCTTCATCGGCCAATCAGGCGCGTAGACCCCTCAGTTCCGTCACGCCTTCCCTGAGTTCCCAATGAGTGCACCCCTCCTTTCCTTCCCGTCTCCCTCACCCATGGCGCCTTCCTCCACCCAATCCGTCCACCCAACGCTCCTTCCCCACTCCCTCCACCTCATCAATCTTACATAGAGTCTCCCACTATACAACGCCTATACTATACCACGGCGTGTCTCGGTCTTCTATGTCTTCTGTGCTGTTCAATCTCCTTCTTATCCTCTCTATGTGAGAAGCCACTCGTTCTCTCGGCCGTCTTTAACACCGGCTTGAACTTGGGTTGAGTCCAGTGGACATGACCAGAATCCACTGAGCTCACTGAACGACGTGTCTACCGCCTACCGCCTATCCGCTATCACTTGCGCCGCCCATGAGCCTCCGTGGTAGGTTTGGGCCGCAAATCCCTCAGAGAACAAATGTTTAACACTAATTGATTCCATAGACGGTTCAATTCCTTTCGGACGAGTCGGATGCTCGCCCCAGTGTCTTATCGGCTCGTGTATCGCTCACGTTACACCCTTTGATTGCTTCCTCAAACCACCACAATCTCTCGCACGGCAGCGATCGGGGTCTCCGCCACTCCTCCCTCCCGTCTTGCCCTGATCCCGAGACCAGACGAATAGATACGGCCGCGCATCGTGTCTTCTCGATTGTTGGAGCCTCGAATTTATAAGACATTGGCACCGCAGCATTCCATCGCGTGATGGCCGCCGTTGTCGCCCGTGCACCCCCCCTCCCCTCCCGCTCCTCCACCCCACCTCCCCACCTGACCCTGAACACTTCATCTCGAGGCACGCCGGCCGCCATACCAAACAAACATATCCCAATATGTTCACCCGGACCACAACCAGCAATCGGCCTCGAAACTCCTCCCGCATCTCCGCCCAGCAAAGAGACCGAGACCGAAACATCGCTTCTCTACCCTCCCGACCACTTCGCCAAACTCTATGATGAAGGTCCTATCTATGGCATCGATGCAGCCACGCTCGCGAGAGCCGTGGACCATGTCTCGAAGCAGCCCCTCCCCGACCCAACCCAGACGTTCCCATGGCTTCACGGCCTCCACCCGGAAAACCACATCCAATTGCAATTCTTCGTCGCCCGTCGCAAATCGCTGCTCAAGTCACCAACCTGTTACCGCGGACTGACCATCGTCAACGCCAGCCGGGCTCAGAAGCACTCACGCCTGAAAGGTGCCGTCCCTCCCAACGAGCTTCTCGCTCTGGGTGATCAGGACGGGCGATTCATGGACATTGATCCGCGAGACGGGTTTTCCGTCCGGAACTTTCAGATCCAGACGTGCAAAATGGCGACCATATCGGATATTGTCGTATATGGGAACGACTGGACGAAAGTGGAGGAGGTGTTGAGCGTCGCGAGGAAAATCAGAAACGCGCAGCTGCAGATGCAGGAGATGCTACGGGCGAACGGACAACCGGAGGCACCGGTCTTCAATACGTTTGTCGTAACAGGTCAGTCCCAGTCACTGGATGTAACCATAGTCACTGACACGCTTATCAGATTCCTTCCGCCTCATTGAAGAGACTCAACCGCAGCTGGTTGCATGCGATTCCAAGGAGGCTGTGACTGGAAACTTCGTCGACTTCTGTAAGCATAGATGCACCTATTCTATATCAAACGCTAACCTTTTCAGTCCAACAAGAACGTATTGAGATGTTTACCATGTCTCACGCATCAGAAATCACTCACAATGTCTTCTTGGGTCCAACCCCTGATGCCACTATCGATCCACTGCTCGACACCTCCATGTCTCAGTTCGACGTCTATATCGAGGCCAACGATCTAGCCCAAATGCCCGATACCGGGTCAATGCGTAAATTGAGAGCCGCCTTAGATGACCTAGAGGTCCCTACCATTGGCCTGGAATTCCCATCCTCGGGATCAATCATACCGCCGAACTCATCCTGGTCTGACGCCGAAGCGAAAGGCCTCATTGAAATGTGTCGCTGGATTTATGAGGCTGCCAACCCGACTTCCATATCAGACGACACGACCTCAGGGGCAGAGTTGAAGGATCCGGCTCCTTCCGATACCGAGGGGGATACGATCATGCTCTCCGACCTTCCATGCAAAACTCGCAAGCCACGTCGTGTCCTCATCCACTGTGCCGACGGCTATACCGAGTCATCCCTCCTTGGACTTGCCTACATGATGTTCGCCGAAGCCCTCCCTGCACATTCCGCATGGCTAACGCTCCACCGCGACCGAGGCCGCAACTTCTTCGCTTACCCAAGCGACGTCGCGTTGCTGACGGCGCTACAATCCGAAATCTTACGTGCATCTCCCCTCGCCGCAAAGTCAGGTGGCGGCGGCAGCGTCCCGCTGTCCTTCCAGTTACAAGTCGACGAGCCAACCTGGATGAGCAAACTGGACGGCAGCCTCCCAAGCCGCATCCTCCCATACATGTATCTCGGCAACCTCACGCACGCTAACAACCCCACCCTCCTCCGCGAACTCGGCATCGGCCGCGTCCTCTCCATCGGCGAACCCGTCTCCTGGTCCTCCACCACCCCGCCCCCCTCCGCCGTCTCCGTCTCCTCCCCCACCTCCAACTCCTCCTCTCCCCCCACCACCACCCCCCTCCCCACCCTACTCATTGACCGCGTCCAAGACAACGGTGTCGATCCCCTCATTCTCACGACCGCCCTCCCGCAATGCCTCTCCTTCATCGCCGCCGGCCGCGCCCTCGGCCACGCAACCCTGGTGCACTGCCGCGTCGGGGTCAGCCGCAGCGCGACGGTGTGCATCGCGGAGGTAATGCGCGCCAAGGGCTGGGGGTTCGCGCGCGCGTACTGCTTCGTACGTGCGCGGCGGCTCAATGTGATCATCCAGCCGCATCTACGATTCGTGTGGGAGTTGTTGAAGTGGGAGGAGGGGGTGTGTGGTGGGGTGGGGATGGAGGGGATGGTGGGGTTGGTGAAGAAGGGGGAGGGAGAAGCGGAGGGGAGGGTGGATGAGGTGATGGGGGGGATGGAAGGGGGCGCGGTGCAGGGGCGCGCGACGATGAGGGTGGGGAGGGAGTGTGAGTGGGCGGAATGCTGTCGCGAGATCGCGGCGATGAACAAGCCGTATGCCCGGCAGCAGTAGCGGCAGTTTCTAGTTCCGTCGCCCTGTGCGACTCGATCCGATACATTGCTTTCTCCCCTCGACCGTGTTTCCCGTCCCCCGCATTTCATAATGTTTTACGCAAACTGGATGGATGGCGCAACGGCAACGGCAACGGGTCTCGGGCGGACCGAGGGAGTCTTTCTGGCATGTATGCTCGTCATACAAGCATAGACGCTGGAATCGGGGTTCGGTGGTCAGGGGCGTTTGCCGGGTCCTGGCGTTGTCGCGCCTTCGGGACGTTATTATTGGATTTATCTGTCTTGGGTTTTCTTTTGGACTTTGGGTTGTTGATGGATGGGTGGAATGGACGGAACTGAATGAGGTCAGGCTGCGGCGAGAGTCGAGAAACGCACTCCGCTCGCTGCAACCCGGGTCGGTTGGATCGGATCGGGCCCCTGTATGAAAGGGAGGGATGGATAGACGACCTTGATGATTGGAAGATGTACGCCGGGAATGAGGTGATGATGATGATACGTTTGATCACGTATGTTTTCTTTTCGGCTTGTTTTTCTTGGATGTGTATATTTGAACCTTGGGCATGAGGCGACTGTCATTTCCAAAATGAAAGAAAAGACCTTTTTCTGTTTGCCATTTTACGGGTTTAAGGAGGTGGGTTGAGGGGTTCGGGTTCGGAGACAGCGGACTGGTTGCAGATATGGGACTGGCGTGGATTGGATAGCCCATGGGCACCCGACTCTACGGCGTTTTCTACGCTTCATGGTCACTACTCATCCGTAATACATACATGCATACCATTCTTATCACGTCGTCTCCTGAAGCGTAATCAAGGCATACCACCACATCACCAGCGTCACTCCACCTGCTTCTAGCCAACATCACTCTCCTAATTAGCAATGTACCGCACCGCGAAACGAACCATCGATGCCAAACAGTCCGGTTGCAATTTCTCCGATCAGTCGCTGACCGCCATGTCTCTTAACAATACAAACATCCTCCGTCAACTGGCAGATGCGAATGAATAACGCGTGAGCGCGGAAAGAATACGGACGCGCAGTAGTCCCACTCAACCCAACCAAATCCACCACCAAGGTCCACACGTCACAGCAACCACCCACTCGCCCGTTCACACTTCAATTCTCAGTCCGTCCTCACCCCAAAGAACCAGCACCCCGCCACGCCTCCTGCGGCTGCATCCGCTGCCACTCCGCCCACTGCCTCCACTCCCTCCACTCCCCATATCTATCTCTACCCCCTATCCCTGACCACTCGCTTTCCCGCGTCCTCGCACCGTGATCGATCGTCCCATCACCCTGCACCCCGACCGCCAATCCCGCCTGCTCCGGAAGGCCAGGCGCGCCGTGGGGTTGTAGTCCGCGCGGTTGGGGACCGTTGACGGGGACGTCGAGGCTGGGGGGCGGGTGGACGACTGGGGGTGCGTTGAGATTCGGGGGTGGGTGGACGACCAGGGACTCGTGGAGGCCGATGGGTGAGTAGAAGACGGGGGGTGGGGGCAAAGCTACGGGTCGGTGCATGACTTCGGGTGGGGGGGCGGGATTCGGAGAGATGTGTGAAGGGGGGAATTGAGGTTGAAAGGGGTCGGACACGAGGTAGGTGTTGTGGGCTGTTGGATTAGGAATGGGGACAGAGTAGTGGGGGAGCGTGGATGGGTGCGGGTTGCTGGGGTTGTTATGCATGGGAAGGAAGATGTTGTGGAGGGGCGGTTGGTGGGTGATGGGGGCGTCATAATGTGTCGAGCCGTCGTAAGGTGCCGGACCGCCGTAGGGTGTCCAACCGTTGTCAGGTGCGGGATGGAGAGGCCGGTTGTTAGGGTCGTGATACGGAAGGTTGCGAGTCCGGTTGACCCGCACCCGGGCAAGCTGGGCAGCTCGTGCGAGAGCCTTCCTAGTTTGCACCAACCGAATTGTTTGCCCCGATGTCATAGGTGGTGGCGGTCTGCCCGACGTTTTATCGGGATGCACCATCGGGTCGTGACCATTCCCGTGCGTAGCGTTTCCCCATTCCGTAAACGGGCTTCGAGGAGCATCGTCCGCGCTGTCGGCCGGATGACCGAGCTCGATGGATGGAACCACAACGTCAGGGCCGGGAACGGAGAAACTGGCTGGCGCCGACCGGATGGATTCGCTGGCATCGAGACGGTCCGGCGACGCGCTAATTTGTCGTATGATGTCGGCGGTTTCTTCCACGAATTGGAACTGGTGGGATGACAGCGGTTCGGCACTCTTGGTCTGTGTGCGGTTGTATCCATGGCGTTGGCTCGACGCGTGAAGCAAATCATGCAAGGTGTCCGGACGACGGAGGAAGCGCGGAGAGGTCTGGTTGGGGTGACTTGAAGCATCGTCGATCATGGTGTTCAGGGGGGTGGCGATGGGGATAGGGAACCGGAGGAACGGTGGTAGAGGGCCTGGCCTCGCTGGCTTGGGATTGTGTAACGAAATGCATTGTCCAGGCAGTGGGGTATAGATCTCCTGGCCGGTAACCGTTTCGCATACGCCGTCGTACGGGTTCAGGAAAGGGTCCTCGCGACTTTGATCGTTGGAGCCGTCGTAGGAATTGGATATGCTAGGTTGCGCCTGGGCAGTGTACCCCACGTTGAACGGCTGAGATGCGACCTGGGGTGCGGGTTCATCAGTATACTGGACCGTACGTTTTCCTTTCCAGCGCCGGCGACCGGAGCTTCGATGCACGATGGAGGGTCTGCACCGTTTATGGGCGCGCCGAACCACTTGTTTTTCGTCTTCATCGAGCGGTCTATCAGAATTCGAGAAGACAGCGTTAGAGCAAGTTTTGATTTTTTTTTTGATGATGATTAGACATTATGTAGTCTGTCGAGCGAGTGTCGTTGATACCGCGGAGGAAGAATTCCAAGGGCAGATCGTGATGATAGTCATGATATTTGAAGCGAGTGTGGGGCCAGTATTGATACTGTTCTGGTTGTTCAAGCTCACACGATGAAGGTCGATTCTGCGAAGACCATGCCTTCTTCAGTTTTCTCCTCTCCATCGATCGTGATCTTAAGCGGCAGATTGGGCGAGAACTGGAAGGATTAGTTATAGAATATCAGTGGTATGGGGAAGACTTACTTGATAGATATAAGGATATGTCCCGGCGACACCGCCGGCGAGGTTCTTGATGAACGTGGGAACATGGGCCAGAACATCGATCCTGTCTAGCCGTTTCCCTAGCTCTCCTTCCATCACGGCACTGATTTTGTCGCCTCGCCACTCATATTTGACTTCGGTGGGCTCGGGCCAAGCCGTCTCTCCGTCCTCCTTGGTTTTGAGATGCGTGACGGTATTATTGGCACCTGCCATTAGGATTTTGCCATCGGTTGCAATTCCTCCCACGGTAACGACCGTCGGGCCATAGGATGGTGGGGTCGTGAACTCCATCATAACGGCAGAATAGGTTGGTGTCACGCAAGTGATGAAATTCCACCGGGCAGCTAGATAGAAATCAGCATCATGTCGGATAAGGGGATCTGTCAATGGAAAACTCACCAGCATGATGTGGCTTCATTCCTTGCAGAGCATGAATCATCAAGCCTTTGCCCTTAAAGTCAATCACCCCATGAGCCTGGGTGATAAACGAGCCTTCGGCACTACATCGAGGCCAGAAAGCATGTCTCATCGAACCCCAGGGCTTGTCCAGCTCCGTGCCATATGTGGACCTCCCGTCCTTTCCCACCACGAAACCAGGGGACAAGCGGGTCAGCTTGACGTCAATCACCACCTGCGTTGAAGTGGATGACTTGACATGAATCGTCGTGCCATCTTCGGACAGATCGAGCGAGCATTTGTCAGCCTTGAAGCAGTAGTGGTCGTCGTCAAAGCTGTGGTTGGTAACGGGTTCGGTAGACCACAGTGGCGGGGAGGATTCCTTGGGGAAGAACAGCTTGGAAGAGAATTGGCATGTCGTATTGATACCCCTGCGAAGATCAGCTTATTTCGTTCATGTGAGCCGCACGCCCGTCTTCAGAGAATCGGGGTCAGGCGAAGGAAAGGGTAGATCTCATACATGACGTTGCTGTAAATGACCTGGCATATCGCCACGTGACCATTGTCGGCCAGCAGATAGAAAGTCTGAGTCTCTACGCATGTGGACTCTAAAGCTTCCCATTTGAAATCCTCCTTCACGGTCTCCCTGAAGGGTCCCTCCTGCTTGGCGACGCTATGGAACGCTTCCGGGCCATACTCGGGTTCCTGGGTGCCAGCGACGTTGGCAATCCTGTCGAGTCATGGAAGTCAGCTTGGACACAGCACATGGTCGTTGACTTGGCAATTCTTACACTGATTGGCCCCACTGTGACCAACTGAGAGGCATGACGAGACCGGTATCGAGGATGTAGGGAGGGTGAACGGAAAGGTAGTTTAGCTGGGGTATCAAAGAGAGCGGTATATGGGTATTGAAGAGGTACTGTAGTATATACAGCTACGCTATGATCGGAGCAAGCTGATACTTGGGAAAAGGGCAGTTGTTGGAAAGGTGTAATGGATAATAAAGGTGAAGAAGATGGGATGGATGATGGATTCATCACCTGTTATGGCTGTGGAAGAAAGTGCGGGCTGCGGTCGAGGGACAACGTGGACAGGAAAGCCGAAGTTTGGCCGGGGGTTGTAGTGGCAGTGGGGATCTCCCCATCACCGCCAGACCATCAGCCCAACCTAAGCCATCAATCAATCATTATGGGATGATGAACAGGAATGACGACTCCGTAGGCGGTGGGACATCGCAAGGAAGTCCATTCTTGGACATGATCGCCCAGAAAGGAGTATCCAGTATCTCCTAACTTACTACGCAAGTAGTTACGACAACTGCTAACTAATTAATCCAAGCTCATAATCCTTGACACGTACCGTCCACTTATCAAGATGTTATATAAACTTATATTAAGTCACGCATCAATACAATCGCCATCATTTCTACTACAGCGTCATTTTATTCTTGCTCTACAGTGAGCCAGCCAGACGAATATATGAATCTAAATATGACTCCTACACTCTACCGAGATACTCTCCTCATACATGCGCAGTGATCACTGACTTTGTGGTGGGCATTCGATGGAGCCCATTTACGAAAGAGCCACCTATGCAACCCAGCAGATTTCTGGACTGAGATGCACTCATTCATCCGGCAACATTTGCACGTTGCTCCTCGCATTGACAATCTAATAGAAATGGGAATTTTAGCATGTTAGAACTCTTCCGACAGAGCAGTAGAGCGCAGTATATCATGACATGGACGCTTTTGTGGAGCGATTTGGTCGAATGATCGATATATCCGAACAAACCGTATGCTGAGTGTATTTTCAACGAATTCCATCGTGCTTCTGGCCGATATAAATCAGCGCAGCAACTTCATCATCATGTTTTAAATCCACTTCATTCGGGATATCGAGGGAATACCATCCACAATCCGAGAGCAATTGGGCTGGTCAGAAGAGCAGGGACATGGGAGATGGCCTCCAAGGCAGTCGAGAAGCTGATGAAGGGCCACCTGTTTGACATATTCAGCGAGCCAAATGCCAACCGACGAGCTCATGTCATCAAGGAGTTCTGGGTCCCGTCTTCCGAATGCTTGTTCCTCGACCGGTTGGGCGCCTTTCGTGGCCACGACGCCATCCTCGATCTCATCGACGGCTTGCGCAAATCTATGGATGACCTTGCCTTCGAATTAACCGGTAAGCTACCTCGATGCGATCGTCGACATCTGAGATCTGGCACTAGATCAGCGCCAATTGAAGTGCTGTCTCCAGGCGCGGAGTCGTTCCAAGTGGCTCGGATCAAGTGGGCGGGTGGGCCGAAGGGGGAACTACCCATGGTATTCGGGGAGGACGTGGCGACGGTTGTCGAGGGTAAGATCAAGACCATGTATGCCTTTGTCGAGGAGGGGAGAGTAGTGAAGAAATCCGATTTGAGGAATGGTGTCGAATCCGTTGGTGGGAATCATACAGCGGTGCACGTGACGCGGATTATTTAGGGTGGGGGTCAGTTCGAGTTAATGAACATGAGTATCGAATCGTCGCCTTGTTAATTACGTGTCTTATTAGTATCAGCGCATTGGATGTATTGGTCGAATAGGGATCTGTTCCAAGGATGGGCATTGGATAATTCGTGGATACTGGATGTGTACTCCGTATCGTCCGGAAAGATTCCCGAAACCGGTTTTCCCAGTCCAGATGAAGCTCTAGGGGCTTCACAGTTCAATATCTCAGATCTCAACAAGACGTGCCCAAGGCCAAAATATGCCCATTCCAACCTCACGTTGACTTCGTTGAGCCTCCTTGGCCCGATTCCTAACTGCAGGGAAAATTTCCCTAATGTTGAGTCACTGAAATCGCCACCGGTCCGCAAAATACGGCGCACCAATGTTGACTGCACCGCGAGAGTGGGGATAGAGGAGCATCGCTCTCGGATGCTCCGCTTGATTTTCATCTCGACTCAAGTTAATCTCCTAAGTTTCAATACTCTAATGCATGTTCTTGCACATGACAGATTGACCAACTTCCTTATTGTAGTGTTTCAGTGAGCTGGAACCGCATTGTCTGACGGATGAAAGAGAGACCTGTTCCGCCCCATCTGGAACCTCCGTGATTACTTCATATTCCTCTGCATTTCAGAGCTTAATGTCATCACATACGTTGTCACACCTGGGACATTCCTGGCACCAATTATTCCTGTAGCTTTCGGCATATCCGTGTAACTCAACCAATCACCGCCCGAAAGGCACGCAATCCGCCCCTAAAACAGTGCCGGTTGACCCGTTGTTCGGCATCACAACGTTAAGCTATCCAAGGAGTCAGGGAGTCAGGGACAACGTGGGTGGAGCCAGGTCCAGCTTGTCCATCCCACCAGAGACCGAGTTAGACATCTCGGGTCACTTCGTGTGCCAGTTGCTGAATCAGTCGCTGAATCCAATCACTAAATCGACGCTACCAATTATCATCCACGAAACATCTATCTCCAACTTCTATCGGGAGTCACCACCCATCTCTGGTCCTCCACGCTCCTCTCTTTCAATTGCAGGCTTCCTGCCTCATATTAGGCCCTACCACTATCGTTGTTGCATCGGCTTATGCCAACCGCTTCATCCTCCTGTCAGATTACGCCGAGCACAACTTTTACCACTCCTCCACCAACCCACCTCCACTACACCGCGCCCCGCCTTGCACGCTATCCAAATTCATCTCACGCATCAGCGACGCCTCCAAATCCTTACGATATATTCATAGCGAGTAATCTGGTAAAGGCGCCTTGTGCAAAGATGGCTGAGGAAACCCGCGAGGATCCGCAGCGATCGGCGGTGCGGGTTCGCTCTCCCGACGAAGAGGTCGAACCCGCTAGATCCCAAGATGTCGCCGGGTCGCTCAAGAAACCGTCCAAGAATGAGCGCGATGATCTTTGCGAGGCAGCGCAGAAGGAATTAAAGAACTTGTCCATCAGCATGCGACGATCGAAGATGCAGTGCAATCGAATGGAGAACTTCGCTTTTGATCCAATGTCGTTACCTGCATCAAGAGTGAGTGTTTCCAGCCTGCATCCCCCGCAGGACGACGATAACATAAAATAATGAGCACCTGCTAACAAGTTTGCTACCATAGGTTCCTTCTCGGGATTCAGGACATTCTGCCACTCCGGTTCAGACTCCCTCAGGTGCTACCTCTCCTCGACTTGGCTCATCCATGGCATCCGTCAACTCCCCTCCACTTACACCAGCTGGATCAGGCCCCGAAAGAAAAGGAGCTTCCCAGGACGAGGGCCTCCCAAGAATATCAGTCCGAAACGACGCAGGAACAATGACTCCTGAAATATCTCCGCCCCACGAGCGTCCTCCGACAAAGGTGACCCCTCAACAGGAATCCCGACCGGGCGCATCGACGCAACCACGATCTGCAGCCGCCAACGCACGCCTTACCGCTGTCGTTCAACCGCGCCCGCGATCGATGGTGGAAATGTCCGGTGTTGTGGCGCCCCATCCTGCGGAATATCGCAACTCCATGGCGGGCCCTGCAGGCGATTCGCTACCCCCGTCTCATGACGGAAGTCCCGCCAACACCCCTGGAGCGGTCACCCCGCCCGGCGCACGCTCCCCATACCAACGTCCCTTCACACCGCAAGGCGATCCAAACGATCCATATGCGCGCGGAAAACGTCCCGTGCAAAATCGAGATCTCGATACGATCGACCCCAGGTTTGTCTTCGGGGTCCGCGACCGCAGCCAACGCCGCGACCCCATTTCAGCCTCGTCATCCAACGTCCCTCGATCAAAAGGCGGAACGGAACCCACCCATCAAAATGAGAAGCGCCCTGGTTTTCTTGGTGGCAGTCACCATCGCGACGAGTCCAGCTCATTCCACCTCAGCGAAAAGAAACATGGGTCTATGTCCGATCTGAAGCGCTTTTTCAAGTTTGGATCCCATAAGAAAGATAAAGACAAAGGCCATAAGAAGTCTGGTCACTCGTCGTCGAGTAGCTCGCTGCGGGGCAGCCGACCTACGACCGGAGACCGGAAATCATCGTCAAATTCGACCGGAACGTTCAATATGCCCTTCGCAGACGACATGAGCTTAGAATCGAAATACGGAAAGTTTGGCAAGGTCCTGGGCTCTGGGGCGGGGGGATCGGTCCGCATCATGAAGCGCCAGTCGGACGGAGTCACCTTCGCCGTCAAACAGTTCCGAGCTCGACATACCTACGAGAGCGAGAAAGAATATAGCAAGAAAGTCACCGCCGAGTTCTGTATCGGGAGCACGTTGCACCATGGCAACCTCATCGAGACCATGGACATCATTCATGAGAAGGGGAACTGGTACGAAGTCATGGAATACGCACCCTACGACCTATTCGCGATCGTAATGACGGGAAAGATGAGTCGAGAGGAGATCACATGCGCCACGCTTCAGATCCTCAATGGCGTCACCTATTTGCACAATATGGGGCTAGCGCATCGAGACTTGAAGTTGGATAACGTCGTCGTCAACGAGCATGGGATCATGAAGATTATCGATTTTGGCAGTGCCGCCGTTTTCCGATATCCCTTCGAGAATGGTGTGGTCACGGCATCCGGTACGTACAGCCTTTAATGTTTAAGGGCATCGGTAACTAATATTCAACACAGGCATTGTCGGCTCCGATCCATACCTTGCTCCTGAAGTCTATGATCTCCCCAAATACGACCCGCAGCCAACCGACGTCTGGTCTCTCGCCATCATCTTCTGTTGCATGACCCTCCGTCGCTTCCCATGGAAACAACCTCGCCTCTCCGACAACTCCTACAAACTGTTCGTTGCGGACCCAGACGAAGAATCAAGAAAAGCGCTCTCACAGCTGGCTTTAAAATCTGCACTTGAAAATCCCAATCCATATAACCCCACAGAACGCTTCGTCCAATCCGAACCTTCATCCCGAGTTCCTAGCTCGGATCCACCATCCGAAAACGAACCTCACCGCCGCCATCATCGTGATCATCCTGAGCCTCCTACCCGCTCCGACCCCAATACTAATATCCAAAACCCGGACCAACCTCGAATTCACGTCCCCGAAACCCCTCCGACCAACACCGCCTCCACACAACCGCAAACCCAGCCCGCACAACCGCAACAAATCAAGGGGCGCTGGCGTCTCCTCCGCCTCCTTCCCCGCGAAACCCGCCACATTATCAGTCGCATGCTCGAACTCGACCCTCTCCGCCGCGCCACCCTCGCCGAGATCTGGGAGGACCGCTGGGTCAAAACCGCCTTCTACGGCGACAACGTCGATAGCGACTCTACCATCCCAACTCCAAGCCCATCCAGCGCCGTCGGCGGGCCGTTCAGCATCGGTTACTCGAACTCCGGGCCAGCCGCCGGGCTCGCCGACAGCGGGCTGGCCGTGGGCGGCGGCGGCGCGATGGCGATGGGGATCGGGTCGCAGTCGCGACCGGAGAGCCCGAGCGCGCGGCCGCTGCATGTGCACGTGGCGCGGGACGGGTGCCGCGTGTGTCGGCAAGAGGAAGGGGGGACGATTATCCGCGGGTTGGGACATACGCATGTGCTGGAGCCGGGGAGTAGCGGCGGGGATGATAAGGGAGGGAAGTGAGTTATGACATCGACACTACCGCATTTGTTATGAGGGGGAATACAGCATAGAGTGGGATCTTGCACTACATTTGGACATGTTATCACGCATTTTGGGGGCATCCTGGTGGATATCTACTGCCTCCGGCTTGGATGCGAGGCATGGTGGATTCTGTAACATTACATTACCCTTCACATTCAAACGACGATTCTCCACATCCCACATCTTCAATCCTACTCACCCATCCCGACCACTCTCTCTCTCTTCTTCGTGATTAACCCGTCTTTAGGAGGTTCAGAGGTATTCAGAGCTCCTACAACGCGCTCCGCACGATGCAGGCCCTTTCTGGAAACGTCGCTCGTCGCTCTGCACGGGTCGCGGAGATTCGAGGCGCGAAGGCAACCCCCCAAGCCGCGAACGCGTCCCGTAGGAACAACTTGGGAGTTGCGGGGTCGTCGCTTCGTCGCTGCCAGGGGCTGCGTCCCCGTCGGTCGCAAGCAAGCGGAGCTAGAGCGACGAGACCGAGAGCAACTGACCACCGTGATGATAATGACAGTGACGATGTGAAGGCCCATGAGATGCAAGCCCGCTCTCCCCTAATTGAATACATCAGAGAAGAAGTAGAAGTCGAGGAGGAGAACAAGGAAGAGGAGGAAGTCGAGGAAGAGGAAAAGATCGAGGAAGAGGAAGAAGAGAGCTATGGACTTAACCCGAACCAGCCGCAGTTAAATCGGTATTTCATCCCGCGCCGTCTCGTCCCCGGGTACGAGTCATCCACCGACTACGATGAATCTTCCATGTACACCGATTGGGACTGTGACGAGAGAGGCCCCGACATGCCCCTCGATCCCGACGACCCCCCCAACCCCGACGACCCCCCCCGCCTCGATGCCACCAGCGGCCCGGAACTCATGATCATCAACGAAGGATTCATGGGCCCCGACCTCCCTGTCCCTGCTATCGAGCCCAGAGATGCAACGGAAGATCTCATCGCGTCCCGAGCCGGATCGTGCCGCACCCACCAGTTCCGACTTTCGAATACCGACGAAGAATGGGTCACGATCCCGCGCCGCTCGGCTCGCCTCGCGAACCGCCAGAATCAGCATGAAGAAAACGACGAGAACCACGATCCGCGTCGCTCGCGGCAGCGGCCGCCGAAAGGGTCAGACGATCCTGAAACAATGCTGGATCGATTGCTAGATACCCGCGTGCAGGCGCGGACGACGCAAAGGACGCTAGAGTCGACGCTCATCGACATCCGTCACGCCCTAACAGAGATCCAAGCGTTACGCCAGGCAGTAGCGGAGAGGAGACGCGGTGACAGCGACAGCAGCGTCGTGACCCGTTCCAACGGGGCGCCGGTCCCGCAACTTGGCAGTGTGCTAGACAGCCTCGACGCAGAAGGCCTTCGCAGCGGACTGCGGACCCTATCGGGGATTCTCCGCCGACGCCCTTTCTGGGACTTGGGAGCCAGCGTTCGAGCAAGGAGGCGAGCCGTGAGTTGGCCGGGGGTTCGACGCACGCGGTTAGGAGACGGGGCGGTCGGTCGGGGCAGTTTCAGTTTTAGTTTTCGAAATCTGCATGCGATACGCTGGCGGAGGAGTGGTGGGGGGGTGAGGGGCGCGAGGAGGCGAGCGGCGTCGAGCGCGTCGATGGATCTGAGGCTTGTGCAGCGGCTTGAGGAGGCTATTCAGGGGACGAGGGAGGGCGTGAATAACGGGGTATATGAGGTGGACTGAGTGATTGTGGTATGCGGAGTGTTTGCGGCGGAGTCACTATTGTTCTTCCTTTTGTAATGGTTTTAGGCATTGGTTGTATCAGTACGGGTCCTATAGCTTACTTAGCCATCCCTGGTTGGCGATATGGCTCTATCCTTTCGTCAAATCCCAAGAGGCGTGCATGTATGATACGGGCTCATAGTTCTACTGAAGTTTCTAAACAATACTCCATACTGTATATCAAAAGGCCCACCGCAACCGCGCCGGAATCAAATCCCAACTTTTCGCTATAAGACCTGGTATCCCGAATCCAATGAAACCCACAACATACCCATAAGCTCATCAGGGCCGTATCCTCTAGTGCCTCTATTTCAACCGCTATACCAGTTCGTCTCGTTATACATGTCTCCCGGCCCTCCCATACTACCCAACCCCAAGGCACTCCAATCAATGTTCCCCAACCTAGCCTCCCCATCCACCCCCGCCCCCGACTCATTCCCATTCTCCCCATTCAGCTGTCCCCCGTTCATCCCATTCGTCTGACCCACACCATTGGGGCCCGTAACACCCCCCCTCTCATTCCCGCCTCCACCCCCACTCTCACTCCCCCTCCTCATCCCCCCATCACCCCACCACCCCCTCGGACTCCCCCCTCTCGACCCCTCACCATTACCCATATCATCCGCCCAGTTCCCAAACCCGCGCGCCAGCTGCGCCTGGTCCTGGAACCACCAGTCTGTCTCACGCAGCAGCGCATTGACCCCGCCGAACATATCCGACGGGCTATTGATGTGCGTGCGCGATGTCGACGGGATGGCTTCGGGCTCGGCGGACGGGCCGGTAGTGGAGGGGGAGACAGGGGAGATACGGGGTGGGAAGGAAAGGTCGAGGGTGGATTGAGGGGGGAGGGGGTGTTGTTGGCCGGATGGGCGGCAGGCGTGGGTTGAGAGGCTGCGGGGGTTGGCGATGATTTGAGGGGGGAGTGTAGCCATGGGGTAGAGCGAGGCTAGGTCCATAGAAGGATGTGAAGTTAATGTGGAATTGAGTGGTTGGCCCGTCGGTAGGGGCGGGGGAGAAGGGTGTTCGAGCTTCGTAAGGTGCAAATGTGTCGCCTCCGGCGTAGGAACTTCTTTGTAAGCGCCGAATTTCGATTCCGTGCGCACCAGCACCGCCTGTGCTTCATCCGGTAACACGATCTTCCACTTGCGTGCTAGGACGGACAGGATGCCGAGCGTGCGACGAGCGCACAACCAGCCTTCCGCCATCTCCTCGAGATGTTTCACACCGTGCGTGATGTCGCGGACGGAGTTCGGGTCCGGGAGGTTTAATAGGTGGATGGTGCACGCGCTGTGGATGATATACACGGCGACGTTGCAGATTTGCCGTAAGCCATGGGATCGGCGGTAGAGGCGGAAGAGCTTGCTGATCATCGTAGCACCTTGGGTACAGATCTTGCGTGGGGAGATATTGGGAGGTAGTGGGGATGTAGATTGGGAGTATTTGAGGAATGGACGGAAGAGATGGATGTATAGGAGTTGGAAGAACATGCTGCATTGGGTTAGATATTGTCCCACCCAGAGGTCGAGATTGACTCACTGCATGACCAGAACGCTTGGAAGACCGCCTTCTCGAGGATGGAATTCCGGCGCTAGGTTCCGTCTCCATTCCTCGAGTCTCTGGTGGAGATCACTGAGCCTGTTTAATTCGGATTGCTTGTTTTTCGATTTTTCGATATCGATCGGGTTGTAGAATGAAGTCATGATGTCGCCGCTGATCTCACAGAGCGTCGATATCTGCAAAGCCACTGCCCTCGTCCTCGATGGTTGAGCATGGGACTGGTTGAATCCGGAATCGCTGTACGCTGCCCAAATTTCCGACTCCTCGCCTGGGAAGACTTCGAATTTCGGTACCGTGACCAAGGACTTTGGCAGCTGTGGCATGCGGCCAAGGTAATTCGACCAGCATTTGTCGAACAAAAAGCAGCCCCAAAAGGTTATTCGCCGTATATCTTCCTCCTTCTCATCAAGGTTAGGCTCGCCTCTGAATGAGGTCAGAGTCCCTGAATCCAGGTTGAGGCCAAGATCCAGGGCCATTCGAAAGCTCATGCCACTGTACATCCATCCTTTCTCTTCGCGGCCACAGCCCGCCTCTCTGACGGACATGAGAGCAAGTGCCTGCACTGTTGTGAGTTTGGGTTTGTCCAGTTCATCCTCGATGAGGATGCGTTTGCACTCTTGGAAGAAATGATCGCCAGCCGTGGCTGAGTCGTCTCGGTCTTCGCGGGAGGCCGGGATGGAAGTGAAGTGGCATCCCAGACAGAGCATGGCGTTGACCAGCAATGAGCTGCAATGCTCCGCCCTTCGTAAACCACGAGGCCTTCCGAGAAGGAAATCCCGGTAGAAGAGGGTTTTTGAAAGACATGTGAAGAACCTGCAGCGCATCAGTATAGGCCGGATATATAGAGGAAGGGTGAACCCACGTATAATGCCATGTGAAATACATGTTCATCAGATGTCTAATTGATTCCACATTGTTGACGACCCTCGTCCAAGAAACGGCGGGATGCTCTTCGGTGGAATACTCGGTGTCACTCAGAGCCGGAACGACCTCGTCTTCGACATTCATGAACAGCAGGTTCGACGTCCCACCAATGTATCTGGTGTTTCCACCATCCACCCGCAACTCACCCATCCTCCCCGAGAGCTGCCCCTCAAACGTCGGATGTTCCGCCTCCGCCGCCTGACTAAGCGGCGAATCGCCTTCGTCCTCCTCATTCTGTTGATACTCTTTGGCGAGGATATTCTCGGCGACGGTGTCGAGGCTTTCGCACGTGCGGATCTGGCGGACCAGGTCGGGGACGTCAGACTCGGGGGAGTTGAGGAGGGCTTGGATTAGGGTTTGGAGGGTCGAGTTATGGGTCTGGAGACGGTCGATGTCTTTGCGATAGACCCCTTTCCGTCGATGATCCGAGCCGGGGTCGAAGACACATGGGGTATGATACACCTGCGAGCATGCGTTACACGCGGGTAGGTTTCCGTCACACTTGCTTTTCCGGCGGCGGCATGCTATAGTTGAGCAACACAGGTTAGTCCGAGCCGATAGCGATAAGGAAATCCTTTACGAGAGCGACCAATGCCGAATTCTCGTCGATCGGAGGCTGTCCCTACCTATGCATGCCGTGCTGACAACCATCCGTCGCTTGCTATTCTCATCTCCCTCTCCCTTCTTCCGCCGAGCTCTTGCCTTTTTCTGTCCCTGTCCGCTCACGTCGGGCGCACTCATCGGGGTTGTTCCAGGTCCTACATGTACTGGTGTACTGGACGACGGATTCATCGTTCCCAGGAACGTGGGCGAGTGCCCCGCGGAGATGCTCGATGCTGCCCGGAAAACTTAGTCATACGATCCGGCGGCCACCAGCGTGTGGTCGATGTTTGTAATTTGTCCTGAACGAATTGGATATCTTGAGGAGAAGCGGGGCAAGGGACCGATAGGCGATAGAATCAGATACATGGAGGTGAGATGGTCATGACTTCGTGGAGTGGTCCTCAATTCGCGATATTCGACCTGGGGAGGGTCCGGAAGCGCGGGAATGGTAGAAAGCGTATGGCTCGGCGTCGGTCCGACATGGCATGATGTAAAGTTTTGGACTGTGAGCTTGAGCCTCTGAGGAGACTTATGAACTTAAAGGCTACACCACCCGAGAGATCCTTGATTCCCCAGAAAATACTGAAGGTAAATATCCCCAATTGATATCCCGCTGACAAAGCGGTGAATTCTAAGACGCTGCAAGCAACGACTATCTATCAACCAGTATTTATCAACCACTCTCCCCCCCCCAATTTGAATTTGCCAAAATGACGACTGACCTGGCTGCTTCTCCGCGCAATCAGGTATGCTGGCTTATCGAGAGAAGCTCATGATAAGAACGTCCAGCTGGCCAATCTGAGGATCTTTCCCCGACCGTAGCCTGGCAATTGTGGCGGGGTGAAATGTGGCGGGGTGAAATGTGGCGGGGTGAAATGTGGCGGGGTGAAATGTGGCGGTGGTGGGACAATACAGAAGCGTGGGGTAGAGAGATAGAGTGGAACTGACTGGACTATTATTGGTATATTATACGATCTACCGGTTAGGAAATGATCGCATTGTTAGGAGTGAAGAATTAGTATGGGATTTCACCTTTGGCATAGTCCAGTAATCGGTATTCAGGGGCAGTCGCCAGGACAAAATATCAAAGCGGAAATAAAAGGCAAACAAGCCTTGCAATTGATTTTGATAGTAGCGGAAAGTCTCCTATGAGACAATTCTCCCCTATCTTATTCTGGCTAATGTCAATTACCACTAGGAATCATCTCGAAATCCAGCGTTCCAACGAAACGAGGAAACGATTCCCAGCGAAACACCCCTCTTCCACCACGTATTCAAGTACCACCGCACTGCTTCGCCGGGCACCCTTCCTGCTCCTTCTCGAACGCCGCCATATCCATCCAGACCGTCTCCCATACATGCCCATCCAGATCCTCAAAGCTCCGCCCATACATCCTCTCCATCTCCTGCGACTTCGTCGTGTCCATCCTCCCCCCTCCCTTCCCCGCTTTCTCCACCAGCTCATCCACCTCCTCTTTTCGTTCGCATGAGAGGCACAGGAGCGTCTCGGTGGACGTCTTCGCGTCGCAGATGGTCTTCTCGACGGGCTCCTTCGGCATGTATCCTTGAAAGGTGTCGCGCATCATGATCATGACGTAGATGTGCTCCGAGATGATGATGCAGGAGGTGTTCTTGTCGGAAAACATGGGGTTCTTAGGGAAGCCGAGGGATTCGTAGAAGGCGGTGGAGGCGACGACGTCAGTGACGGGGAGGTTGACGAAGATCATGCGAGCCATGATGAGGGTTGCTGTGGTTTGGGGTAATTGATTGACTGGTTAAGAGACTCGATGGCTTGGTGCCTGGTGATTTGAATGAGATACTGTCGACTTGTCGCTGTTGAGACAAACTGGAATTGACTTGCGAAAATATTCCCTTTTATAACTAGAACCCCCCATCTTCATTTACCATCTTACAGCATCAAAGAATTCGCCTAATCAGGAAGCTTCCATGAGACTTAAAAAGTCTAATCCCGCCAAGTTCGTATTCATCTTCTTAGTGGTAACACGGAAATTTGAATGAGTGAATCAGATGAAAAGCCCAACCGCCCTAACGCGACATCACCGTGTCAAGGCCAATTCGGCGCGCTTAGTGCAACACGCCCAGAACGCGAAGCCACGTGAGTCAGTGTCTGATCAGTAATCCACCCGAATATCAACTTCAATCGCACCAAACCACTCTCCTCAATGGATTGATGCCTGGAGATGTTTCATTTCTTGCATCCAAGTCGGCACAACAGCTTCGCCGTGTGAGGAAGACAGGATGATCGTCTGAAGGGTCTGAGTTTGTGATCACTGTCATGCGTGCGTGACCTTTGGGAAGATAGAGTCCCTTATTTCTCTAGTCGACTGAGCAACTGGCGCGTCTTTCCCAAAATGTTAAGGATTGGAAGGAAATAAGGCAGAGCCTTGGACTTTTTCTAAATCTTAAGGGTCAGATCAATTCGATACATCTGCTATTAGGTATAAGTATGTCTTCTTGTAATACTTCACGCCAAAGTCCACTTCCAATTCAACCGGAGGGGAATTCCCGTAGCCAACGTATCAGAACACATCATAGCCTTGCCTTTCCTGGAGCATGAAGCTTGAAGGAAAAGGTAAATACCCAGTTAGCCATAAGGAACAGGTTCCTCCTGAGGACAGACCTAGTCCCTCCTGAGGGCCAGGAGTCTTACAACAGGACGATTTCCCAGAACCTGGAAGTCATGAAAACACATCCGAATTGTCACGAACAAGCGCTGAGGGCCGTTTTCCAGCCATCGTCCCCCCTGTAACGCAAGGCCACATTATAAGCCCTCCAGTTAGCCATAGAGAATTGGAGTCAAGCGAAGATGATGATGCCAGGCTGAGACGAGCACTGCAACCACAAACGCGTCCGAGGCCGAGAATAGAGGGCATGATTCAACGGAACAAGAGGAGAATACGACGCAAAATCCGGAGCATCCCACCTCTATGAGATTGGTATACTATCACAGCTTCCGCCGAAGATTCAGCGGCAGGCGAATTCAATGGTGCGGAACTCCCGTTTTCCAACAGATGAAGTGTTTGATAATACAGTATCTGCCAATCCTGGTATTATCACCAAAAATGCACGGTTCTTTCTCTTTTTAAATAAATACGGCTTTAGACTTAGCGGTCTTTGTTCTAGTGGCAGTGATAGCTAAATTGGTCATAGCTCTTCAAAGGCATGCAATCCAAGGAAATCGGGATTCATCCGAACTCAGAAGCTCTATCCTTGCTCGGGAAACGGCTCTTAAGTAAGATTGAACGATCACTCTCCAAGATTTCTCGACCAGAAAGGGGTATCGCCTTTGTATTATAACCTATGTTCAGCTCCAGGAGCGTGTGCTTCATTAAAGTAATTACATATTATACTTTCAAATGCCATGTTCAACGCTAAAATCCCAAATCTTCTCAACGAAGACCCAATGCAATCCCGACAAATTGTCTACGCCTGACTCTCGCCGGAGGTCGCCTCATCTGCCAGCGGCTTCGAGAACGTAGGCGCATAGGCACTCTTCTGGCGAATATTCCCGCCCCGCAGATAGAACCAGATGGGAACGGGGATCAACGCCACGGCGATGCAGCCGAGCATCGTGCCCGCCCACTGAATGCCCATGCCATTGTACATCTGGGTCGCAAAGAGGGGGAATCCCGCGCCGGCGAGGGATCGCAGGAAGGTGTTGGCTGCGATGGCGGAGGCGGCGAACTACACAAGGATGTTAGCAAGGATCGGGAGTTGGTGTGAAAGAGGTCGGTACATACCATAAGATACGCATCGACAAGGTAGTTCAACGACTGCAAGAAAATGCACATGATGCCAAACCCGGTAAGCAGACCGCTAGCCGTCGGCGCCATCCAGTGGATGCTGGCCTTGTACCCCGTCCAGTGGAACCAGAACAGCCCGCCGGCGAACGCAATGCCGCCGACGATCACTTCCGGGAGCCGCCACTCGGGGACACCCACTCCGCCGTTCGCCCGCAACTTCTTCTGATACCCCGGCTGGCGGAGCGCCATGAACAGGCCCGCCAATAGCTGCCCGGTAATCATCCCGAAGAACGGGAGGCCGCCGATGCCCGGAGTCATGTGGTGGACGCCCTGGAAGACGAGCGGATATGCGGTCAGGAAGAGGTAGAGGAGGCCGTAGACGAAGGCCATATAGACAGAGATGAGGAGGACGATGGGTTCGGAGATGAGCATGCGCAGGGGTCGGGAGAAGTTCTTCTCGACGAGCTCTCGGAAGTCGACTTCGATTTCTTCCTGCTTCGCGTGGATGCCCCAGTTCTTGGTAGTGCGGCGGAGCTCGGAGGCTTTGTTGACGAGGATTATCGGTGGATAGGTCTCGTGGAGGAAGAAGAGGTTGAGGATGAAGCAGCTGGAGCCGATGATGCCAGTGATGTACTGAGTCCAGCGCCAGCCGAGTTCGGACGTGACGATGAAGCCGCCGACGAAAGGAGCCATGAGCGGACCGGTGAATACAGTCATGGAGAAAACAGTGATCTAAATGGTCGGATTAGCACCTCATTTAAACCGTGGGCGACTTGAAGAACAACTTACCGCCATCCCCCTAGACCGGTTGTTAAACATATCCGAAAACACCGCCGCAACGACCGTCAGGGGACACGCTCCAAAGAACCCGCCCCAAAACCGGCAAATCAAGACCGTCTGCAAGTCTTTCCCCACGGCCACCGCAAACTGAAACACCGTAAACCCAAAACACGCAATCACCAACGGCATCCGCCGCCCATACAACTCCGAAAATGGCGCCCACAGAATCGGTCCCGTCGCGAACCCCAGCACATACAACGACACCCCCAACACTGCCACCGTCTGCCCGACCTCGAACTTCTGAGAGATCACCGGCGTCGCCGCCGAGAAGATACTCGACGCAAACGCCGCCACGAACGTCGTGTACCCCAGGATCCCCGCCGTCAGCAGCTTCTTCCGCATAGACCAGTTCTGCGCGTGCAGCGGGTCATCCTCGCCATCGAACTCGACCACATAGTCTTCGCGCTCGGGGAGGGGTGGGGGATAGGGTTTCCCGTTGCCCATGGGGGGCATCGGCTTGGCTCGACTGCGTGTCCGCGCGCGGATCGAGGCGCCGACGGTCTCGGTGTGCTGGCTCCTGGCGGTCTGAATGCGGGAGAGGGCGGTGGTGGAGCGTTCGAGGGGGCCTTCGGTCTGGGTGGCGGCACGGGACACGGCGACATCTTGGTGGGCGACGGAGGATAGGGAGGAGGTGGAGGAGCCGGTGGAGGTGCGGTGGAGGGCAGGATCTTCTGCTTCTTCTTTGATTTCCTTTCGGTGGGCGGTGGGAGAGCGGGATTGGCCTGGAGATACATCCTGCCTAGACTTCTCGCCTAGGTCGATAGACTCCATGGCGGGTGGTGTGAAATGTGGCAATGTGCCACTGAGGTTAGAATTTTAGATACTCAGTCGGTAGAATTTCTTCTCCTATATATAAATCCAGAAGGAGGGAATATAAAATGGCTAATCTCGCAACGCTGCAATGATTTGAGGTCACGAATTGAGATACAAGTAACGGTAGGAAAATAGACTCTTGACAGCGCGAACGATTGAATATGAAAATACTCAAAGCAGATGCTGGAATAAGAAATGGGTCAATATCAAACCATGGACGACTAATAAGGCGCGGAGCGATAGGGTATTAAATCATTTTTCTGGACTCGGGGCGCCCGTCGAAAGTTCTCGATCTAGTACCGCAGTTTTTGCCATTTCCGACCATCTGGATGGTTGTTGAGAATGTTGACATCCGCACACGGCAATCGGCATGTGTAGTTGCTCGAAAACGGGCTGCTCGGTCGATGACCTCATTCGCTGCATGGTTACAGAGCTTCCAAATCCCAACAGTCGGCGTTTAATAAACCCCGATCAGCAACTATTAACAGCTAAGCTTTGCTCGCTGGTACTCCCGGTGGCGTCGCCGGGTTGCTAGCGAACTCTTGTCAGGGATTTTGTGGATAGAGCCAATCGGCGACGGGTTCTCGAACGTTCGGTTTATCAGGGTAGACCGCGGCATCTCAATTATCAACTGACTCTTCCGCTTTTCTTCCAATTCGGGCTCTCCCGGTTCGCCTAGCCCCTGGGAAGTGGGAACTCAAGAGCCTCAGACTGTTGGGATCGTGATATTTTCCATGCCGACGGCCGTAGGGCGGAGACCACGATTTCATGCTCGGACAATGCGGACATCGGCTTAGGAATTTCATGGGCTGGCTTTGTCATCCGCCTTGCATTGGTGATTGGTCATTGGTGTGTCGACTTACAGTCCCCCATCCTGCTGGGCCAGTAATATATGAAATAAATATGCAATGCAGGGCCCGTTCGGGATGTCGAGCATCGGCAAGCACCTCGAGAAGATTCATCTCCGTTAATGCCGATGGCTGTAGGGGATAAGACTACATTCCATTTATTATTAACTTCCGTATTGAACAGTTGAGGCATATTGAATAGGCTATGCTGTTCTAGAGTAGTGAGAAATAGAGGCGTACGTACGATACGGTATTCGAAGTGATTTCGGATGATGAAGCAAAGGAAATGAACAACCTACCCACAAACTGTGACTCCCACTATCCGACTGTCCGACCATCCGGTGGTGATCCAGTCATCCCCGCTTCATCTCATCAACATGTCCTGGCTGTCTCCTACCACCTGACTGACGCTCCTAGCGAACGCATCAGCCTGACCAAGTATATCGTCCAGCACTTTTCTCGCATCCTCCACTTCACCCCACTCGATTACTAGGGCATGCCTCGTAACCTCCTCCGCCATCTCCAAGTCCCTCACATCTCTCCCCGATATCTGCGTGCAAGCCGCTACCAAATCCTCCCCACGGCTCTCCAGCAGGATCAGTTCCTCTGCTCTCTGCACCACTTCCTCGGGGACACCGTTGAGTCGTGCGCACATGGTCCCTAAGCTGCTCATCGTGCGCCCCTCGCGGAGGTTGTATAGATAGGTCACCTGCTCACTCGGCTCGTCGGCTTCGTCGTCGATTCGCAGCTCCATGAATGCAAACGCAAGAGATGGCCCGGGGTTCAAGAAACCGTTCTCGAAGATCTCATGGAAGTGGGTGCTCGCAATCACCTTTGGTGCTTCGTGCTCCAATGACAGGAAGTATTCAAGTACACCTGCTGCCAGTCCCGCGCCGTCGGCTGACTCGGTCCCTTTGCCGAACTCATCGATGATGAGGAGTGACTGACGTGTGCAGAGACTGATCATCAGTGAGATCTGTTGGAGGTCGATCATAAATACGCTTTGTCGTTTGGAAACCGTCTCGCGTGTGGAGATCCGCGTGAGGACTAAATCCGTAAGGCCGATGACCGCGCTACTAGCAGGGACGAAGCTGCCAATATGCGCCATGTAGACGATGATTGCGACCTGTTTCAAATACACGCTCTTGCCTGAATAATTCGGCCCCGTCATCATGAGCATATTGGGTCCTCTGTCGTCTTCAGCTTCGGTGGTTGAGTGATCCTCCACGTCTCCATCCACGTACTCTTTTCCACCACCTCCAGCGATGTAGGTATCATTCGCCACAAAACTGTCAACAACGAGTTCCTGGAGAATATGCCGTCCGCCTTTGATTTTGATGATATTGCTTTCATCGACGGTTGGTCTTACCAAGTTGTACTGCGCCGCCCCTTGAGACAGTGCTAGCAGGACATCAAGTTGTCCACAGATATCTGAACATCGAATGAGCATATCCTCGAGCTCGAGAATTTCCTGTGCAAGGGCGTGAACGATTTCGATCTCCTTGTCCGCGATATTGGTTGCGATATCGCCGAACTTTTCGTCCATTTCTTGCATTTCCGCGCTCTTGTAATATGCAAGCGGACCATTTGTGAATGCGAGAGTCCATCTGTTGCTTGGGTCACTTCCATAAATGCCATCACTAATGCCAGTCTCGCCAGCGAAAACCTCAATCACAAAGCCTATCCGTGGAAGGTAATGCACGCGCAGCGGCTCCTGAAGCTCCACCAGTACTTGTTGCATCAGTGTCCGGTCCACCAATGCAAGGAGATCTGGAAGACCGTCGTACTGCCGACGCAACTCATCCAGTACATCATCGACTCCTGGATTGACAATAGTACGATGGTGTGCGACCGAATCCTCAAAGTTCACGACCGCTTGGATCCTCTTCCCGATGAACTGAAATTTCGCCTGGTCGAAATTCGCCCGAATCAACGCCACGATCCGAAGCTCCTCACCGCCCGCAATTTCACAAATGAAATCTACCATCTTTAGAGAATTATATGCGAAATCACGCAGTGTGGACCAGACCGTGCGACTGACTCGTTTGTTGGATCCGCCGGAAATCCCTTTTCGTAACTTCACTAGAGTCACACGGATGTTTTGCACCTGCTTGAGGTGAGCAACGAGTGATTGAACGTGGGCTGAGTTCTCCGGGCTGAGAAATACGGAGATTGAGTGTTGGCGTTCGTGGATGATCTCGAGGCTCAGGCTGGGACGGAGGAATTGCTGACGCAGAAGCTGTTTGCCTTGAGGCGTTCGTGCTAGATGACGGAACAGTCCATACACTGACAACCCTTCTTTGGCACCGGAGGTAGCCTTCGTCGGACCTTGGTTGTGGAAATGAGGATTGGACTCCGATTGCATGATTTGCAGGGACAATAGGGTATCCGCGTTAATGAACCTGTTCAGTGTCAACAAAGCAGACTCTTTCGCGGTGGAAGAGTGTATTACATGGTATCGTTCAGGGTGAACATAGCAATCTCAGACACGCGGAAGAATGCAGCAGCCTCGATGTCTCCCGGTAGGAATGAGTTGGTTCTTCGCTTCTGTAGGTATGCTAGAACGGCACCAGCGCAGCCGACCTGACGTGAGTTAGCCTTGGGATTCAGCGAAATCCATGAACATACTGTGATTTGACTGTTCAGATCAATCCATCCCGCCAACTGCAACAAGAGCCCTGGACGCCCAGAGTATCCATCGCTGTCCTCCAATTCGAGGCTATCGTCGCGTACGACGTCGCCTGGGACAATAAATGAGACATGTGGGCCATCGAAGCAGCCGATCTTCAAACCCAGCAGCTTACTTTTGGCAGATTCGTATCCGAACTCAGAAGAAGGACGAATATCGAGTGCGTAAGGCATCCGGAATACATCGTTGTCATTCTCAACTGTGGCAGCTTCGTTGTATTTAGTATCAAGCTTGTCAGCAAGAGCATCATCTGCTCGCCCAGATATCAGGATCACTGTAGGATCGATGGAAAGCCGCACTGCGAATGTTAGCCGTCTATGATTTGCCGTCCTATACACGAAACATACATGACTCAACAATATCAATTCCGCCTAGCTTCATGTCTTCCATGAAGTACAACTTCTCTTCCCGTGCCACGTAGTAAGAGCAACCAACGGTGCCTTTGTTCCTGATGTCTACAGCCATGACCACCTCGTTGAGCGAGTCTTCGTCGGCATTCTCCCCCTCGCCTTCCTCGGCCCCAGGAATATGATCCTGAATCGGACTTTGCACTGGCAAGTCTGACCTTGCTAGTGGAGTAGATGCCCGGTGAGATTTCAATGATTTGAATGCTACGCGTTGGCGCCGCGAGGGCTGAGAACGAGCATGCGCTGTAGCAGCTACATGATTGCCACTTGAAACTGAAGGAGAGCGAGATATACGACTGGATGATGGGACAGAGAGAGTTGAGGTACGCCCTTGAAACCTAGGTCCATTTCTTGAAGGCATTGTTGCTCAGATACGAACTACATCACTCTGCCGGAGAATGATTTAGAGACAATACAAATGTTGAGTTGAGATAACAATGAGTTGGCTCGGGATAGACGATGTAGATGAGGTGAGCAATGTTAGGCTACCGTTCCTAGAAGGAAGCTGCGATCAAGGGGCGTAGCTACCACGACATGTTACTCTTGAATACTGATAGAGGATCAATGAAATAAGGTACTCTGGAAGGGAATGCTGACATAAGATGGTCGATTAAAATGAGCAAATATACATTAAGGATCAATCTGAGTCGAAACCTATCTACAACCCAATGATGGAGAGCTCCGACGCTATGCACCAAATCGAAGTCCAGCAAGATCTATACCAGTACCTATAGTTATACAAAATACGCTACATGTCTCCTCATTAATTCGTTCCGCTCTTCGGAAATATTATGCACCAGAGACAACGAGTCCGGATTTATCCTCCTTGATGCTGACCTTCGCCGCATCGCCCGTCTTGATCTGGCCACGGATGATCTGGTCCGCAAGGCCGTTTCCTACTTCTTTGCTGATGAGCCGATTGAGTGGCCTTGCGCCGAAACGAGGGTCGTATCCTCGCTCGCATAGCCACTCTTTGACGCCTTCATCCACCTCCAGCGTGATCCTCCGGTCGTCTAGCCGTTTCTGGAGTTCTTTGAGTCGGATGTCAACGATATCCCGTAGCGCAGCTTTCGAGAGCCGTCGGAAGATGATGAACTCATCGATGCGATTCAAGAACTCGGGAGGGTAGTTGTGCGCGACGACGTCCATTACTGCCTTCTGGATTGGCTCGGAGATCTCGCTGCTCTCCTTGCCTCCAAGCTGGTGTCGCTGCAATGAAGGCTCGTCTCCGAGAATGATGTCCGCGCCGAGATTGCTGGTCAGCACGATGATCGTGTTTCGGAAATCGATCTTGTGGCCCTGCGCGTCGGTCAGGAACCCCTCGTCGAGGACCTGTAAGAGCAGCGCGGAGATATCGCGGTGCGCCTTCTCGAACTCATCGAATAGGAGAACCGCGTACGGCTTTCGCCGCACGGCTTCGGTCAACTGACCCGCATCATCGTAGCCCACGTAACCGGCGGGCGAGCCGATCAAGCGGCTGACGGTATGCTTCTCCTGGAATTCGCTCATGTCGAAGCGGGTAACTGCCGTTTCGGTGGAGAAGAGGAACTCAGCCATCTTCTTGCACAGCTCCGTCTTTCCTACCCCGGTTGGCCCTAGGAACATGAAGCTGGCAAGTGGCCGGTTCTCTCCGCTGAGCCCGGCACGCTGCAAGCGAACAGCGTTGGCGACGGCGGTAAGAGCATCGTCTTGACCGCGAACCGACTCGCGAAGCTTGTCTTCCATGTGGATCAGCTTCTCCACTTCGCCAGACATGAGCTTAGTGATAGGAATGCCGGTCGATCGACTGACCACGGCAGCGATGTCGTCGGAAGTAACAGAGTCATGGATAAGAGTGTCGGTCGTTCGTGTCGCATCGGTCCCTTCTTGTGGCAGACTTTGCTCAAGTCCTGGGATAGTAGAATATCTCAATTCCGACGCTTTGCCAAAATTGCCCTCTCGCTGAGCTTGCTCGAGCTCGAGCCGAGCCTTCTCCAACTTCTCCTTCGCAGTCTTGATAGTGTCGATTTCCGCCCTCTCCTGCTCCCACTTCTCCGTGAGTTCCTTGACTTGATCCTGCTTTTCGTTGAGCGTGGATCCCAACTTTTCGCGGCGTTCTCGGCTCGCCACGTCGGTCTCCTTGCGGAGCGACTCCAGCTCAATCTGAATCGTCATGATCTGCCGGTCGAGTTCTTGAATCGCGTCGGGTCGAGATTCCTGCTGAAGTCGGAGAGCGCTGGCGGCCTCGTCGACGAGGTCGATCGCCTTGTCCGGCAGGAATCGGTCTGTGATGTACCGATTGCTGTACGTCGCAGCGGCTACGAGCGCGCCGTCGGTGATGCGAACGCCATGGTGAACTTCATAGCGCTCCTTGATGCCTCGTAATATCGAGATGGTGTCTTGGACCGAAGGCTCGCCAACCAAGATCGGCTGAAACCTTCTTGCCAACGCTACATCCTTCTCGATCTGCCGATATTCGTTCAACGTCGTAGCGCCGCAGCACTGCAGCTCTCCTCGTGAAAGGGGTGGCTTGAGTAGGTTGCTCGCATCGATGCTGCCCTCCGCCTTCCCAAGGCCGAGAAGGGTATGTAGCTCGTCCACGAACAGGATCACGCCCCCTTTCGCCTCCTCCACCTCCTTCAACACCTTCTTCAACCGCTCCTCGAAGTCCCCACGAAACTTGGCCCCCGCAATCAGCTGCCCGAGATCCAACGCAATCACCCGCTTGTTCTTGATACTCTCCGGTACATCGCCCTGTACGATCCGCTGTGCCAGACCTTCGAGAATCGCCGTCTTCCCCGTTCCTGCCGCACCGATCAGGACCGGGTTGTTCTTCGTCCGCCGCGACAGGATCTGGATGGTGCGATGGATCTCCCCGTCGCGCCCTATGACCGGATCCAATTTGCCGTCTTTGGCTCGTGCGTTCAGGTCGACGCCGTATTCCTCGAGTGCCTTCTTTTCGGGCTCGCCTCCGAGGTTCATTCGATGCGTGCCGCCAGGTGGGTGCGCCGCGCCGCCACTTGCGTAGGATCGGGTGTGTGGTATTTGGGTTGGAGGGGTGGCGAGTATGGGAAGGAAGGTATTCGGTAGACGAACGGGCAACAGAGGTCGCCTTTGTGAGGTATTAGCTACTCTAGACGATAGTGATCGCCGGAGCAGACGAGCTCTTGAGGGAAGCATAATGGGCGCTATTAAGGTCAGGAATGACAATGCAGGCGGTGTTAAAATCGTCTGTATCCCTGGAGGAGTATCATTTTCATGAAATGCAAAGAAGAGGCATCATATGCTTTTTGTATAGTTCCCTTGTCCAGAATGTCATAGAAATCATCAGGAGATTCTAGATATGACGATGCCATATATTGGTGCCTTGGTGCCTTATTGCTCCCTCCGGGGGGGACGAAATTGAATTACGTTTCTTGGCATTCCCCTAAGCACAGTTCCCACGATCTTAACTAGAACGCGGCGGAGAATTCACCAAAACAGACCTCTAGTAGTTGCTTCGTTAGGAAAAGAGTATACTTTTTGGTATTATGCTGTTTTTGAGCGAATTGGGCCTACCTGTGATGGCGGTGATGGTTGGGGGGATGCCAAGAGACGTAACTCAATTTCGTCCCCCCGGAGGCTCCCTCCGGGGGGATAAAATTGAGTCGCATTTCTTGGTATTCGATCTACCCCAACTCTCTGTACAATCTTCTATCATCGATTGAAGCACCCAGCGTAATCCCCCGATCTCAACCTAATTGAGGCAATTTGGAGTTTCATTAAACAGCGTATAAAATGCAGGTTATGGGAGTCATTGGACGAGCTCAAACAGATCTTGATTGAGGAGTGGGAAAAGATCACGATGGAGATTCGGGCGCGAATCGCAGAGATGCTGCTGCGCTGCCAGATGCTCGTTGAGCGCGGCGGAGAGTTCATCAAAACAGATCTATGGTAATTGGCTAATTAGGGAATATATACTAATTTCAATATTATGCTGTTTTTGAGCGAATTGGACTGCATGCAAGGTGCTACATAGCCTGTCTTCGGTGGAGAGTGGTGATGTGTAGAAAACTGCCAAGAAACGCGATTCAATTTTATCCACCCCGGAGGCTCCCTCCGCTCTAGCTCAAATTTCATTCCGCTTACTATTAGAGAGGCAACCGTATTAGATTTAGAGGGAGTTCCGAGGTCATAATGGAACTATTCCTTAGCAACATGAACCACGACCTTTCCCTTCGTCCGTCCTGACCTCACCTTCACAAAAGCCTCCGCTGCTTCTTCCAACTCGTAGGTCTGCTCAATCACCGATTTGAGATTCCCCTCTCCCATCCACTTCCCAAGCAGCTCCAAACTGGCCTTGATAGAAGGGCCAATGCTATAGAACTTGAACGGTCGTTTTCCTCCTCCAAGGAAACTCGGCAGCAGCGTATTACTGGCAATACTGAGTACCGGATTAGGGGGAACCCCAACTTGAATGAACCGCGCAGCTGGCTTCATATACCTGTCGCCACAGTGATACAGCTTGGGGTCGCCAATGTTGTCAACCACATGGTCGAAGACTTGACCGCGCTTACCCAGCTCTTCATAGATGTCCACTGCCTTGTAGTCCAAGACTTCGTCAGCGCCCAGCTCTTTCACGAGGTCGATGTTGGCCGCCGAGCAGGTCGTGACGACTTCCAATCCCAGGGCTTTGGAGATTTGGATGGCATATGTTCCGGTACCGCCGCTGCCACCGTTGATAAACACCTTTTGCCCTTTCTTGACGAACGGCGCAATGGCCTCATAGCTCGTCACAGCCGCAGTACCTATCCCGCTCGCCTGGTCAACATCCACGCCCTCGGGAATCGTCGCAAGGCTGTTCAACTTGGCGACCGTGTATTCGCCCAACGTGCCCGAAAAGGCCATCGGATCCACCCTCCCAAACACCAGCTGACCTTCCTTCAACGCGTCGTTCGTCGGATGCGTCGCGGCGACCCGGCCCGCGAAATCAGTGCTGGGAACGGTGGGCTTTCCCACGATGTTTCTAAACGCGCCGGCCATCTCGGGGACCTTGTAGTCGGCGGGGTTCAGCCCGACGGAGAGAACTTTGACGAGGACTTGATCGTTCTTTAGGGACTCTGGTTTGGGGGTGGGGAAGTCACCCAGCGTGAGATTCTTCTCGAGGCCGCCAGCGGCGCTGGAGTACTGCCATGCTTTCATTGTGGAGATTGGAGGCTTGCTTGCCGACAAAGAGGTTATGTTGTGAAATACCTTCGTCGATTTTTGTCCTGCTAACAGGATGATACAAACCTATCAGTGTTGGAAATGTAGGGATCCAGATGTTATACCTACCAGGAGACTCGATTGATCTTCTGATTGCGCGATTGATTGCATGATACTCTTCGGTCTATTTGACGCGGTCTGGGGGGCCTGGAGAGAGGGGGTTGGTGCCTTGATGCCTGGTTCCTGCCTCACCTCACTCCTCAAGCAAAGTGAGGGTCCTGGGTCCACGAAGGGATGCAATCTCAAATTCGCCGCACGTGGCGTCTCGCCCTTTAAAAATATTCTATCTGAGGTTAACCACTTCACATCAATACTTCACTCACTAATTCTCCATTCTCCTCCATCCTCCTCCATCTCCTCCATCCTCCTCTCCATCCCACTTCTCCCATATATCACATCAATACCTTCACAATGGGTTTTACCGATCTCGTATCAGAAGCTGGCTTGACCAGTAAGTTTCCTCTACTCGCCTACACGTTAGTGTGACTCGAAACTGACATTTTCATCAGTGCTCAATGGTTGGACAAAGACCCGAAGCTACATCGTCGGGTGAGTCAACACAGTTCTTTTATTACTTCTTAGGCTCTGGCCTACCATGCTTTTATGATGATAAATTTTGGTCCGTGTTGATGATGCGGCTTAAGACCCCGATAAACGATTACTACCATGCGCTTTGCGCACCTCTGATTTTTGCTATTCTTTGAAGTCTTCTCGATGTTTGCATGGAAGACGAATGCTGACCAGATACTGTCAGCTACGGCCCATCACAGGCTGACGTGAAGGTCTTCGAGGCCATCAAGTCGGAGCCCGCGGTCGAGAACTACCCGCACGCGTACCGATGGTACAAGCACATCGCCAGCTTCCAGCCGGAGTTCGCCTCGCTCCCGGGCGATTCGTCAGCGGCATACACTGCCTATGGCCCTGACGCCAGCGAACTGACCGTGAATCCCGCCAAGGCTCCCGAGACGGCGGAGGACGACGATGATGTCGACCTCTTCGGCAGCAGTGACGAGGAAGAGGATGCGGAGGCGGAGCGGATCAAGGCGGAGCGGTTGGCTGAGTACAAGAAGAAGAAGGAGGGCAAGACAAAGCCGGCTGCCAAATCCATCGTCACGATGGAAGTGAAACCTTGGGGTATGTCCACTAAAACCGCCCATTGTGCGCGTGTATTAACAAACGACAGATGATGAGACAGACATGAAGGAGCTCGAGGCCAGTGTCCGTTCGGTCGACAAGGATGGCCTTGTCTGGGGTGCTTCGAAGTTGGTGGCCATCGGCTACGGCATCAAGAAGCTACAAGTCAACCTCGTCATTGAGGACGAAAAGGTTTCGCTGGATGACCTCCAGGCGGAACTGGAGGAGTTCGAGGACTACATTCAGTCCACTGACATTGTATGTTTTGCATCACTCCGGTCTTCCTGCCACGATACTAACGATTTTATAGCTTGCTATGCAGAAACTTTAAGCGCGTTTAGGTGACGCAAGGTCATGACTCAGGGTACGGAAATGATGGACGGTTAATGATGCCAAAGAACCATTGGAATTATCTATATAGATAGCCATGGAAACGACACATGTGTATGCCCGCCATGCTGAAGATCAACATCATCGCCCCATGCAAAGTGATCATATTGTAGACCGATTTGCTGTGATGCCATTCGATTAGACTGCTAGGACCATTCCGTAGCCTCCATTGCATCCTCTCTATCCAATATCTATCCACCTCTTGCTCAATTTTCTCAAACTGGCAACGGAGATCAGTATTCTGAACGAGGTGCATTGCATGAAAATTGAGAGCCCTGTCTGGTGTGACGATTCAGCGCTTTCCAGCAGCTAAAGATCCCTGACTCGCGTAACTCCATCTCATTCCCAAGCTGCGAGACTTCAGTTGCAACAAACCAGACATTTGCTGTGCATATCTAATTGCTCTCCTCCAACCAACGCACCCTACATCAGCCATCCTATCTAATCTCTCCAAGGCCGCCGATTACAAGCACTCGTGCACTCGTGTTTCGATCCTCCACCACCTCTTATTCCATCCATTCCTCCGCGCAACCATGACCCTCACATCCACCACCCTCAACGCCGCCGGCCTCCTCCTCCTCTCCCACTCGTACGTCTCCCCTCCCCATCCACCCCCCAATACTAACCCCCTCCCAGCGTCTACTCCGCCTGGGAACACTCCAGCACCACACCTCCCCACCCCGCCTCCTCCCCCTTTGCAACCTCCACCTCCACCCTAACCCTCCCCCTCGACATCACCCTCGAGCTCCTCCTCTCCCTCTTCCTCCTCTGCACCGGCATCATCCTGCACAGCGCGCCGCTGCGCCCGATCCGTTGGCGCGCGTGGGCGGAGCAGATTGAGAAGGATCAAAGCCGGCCCGAGGGGCGGAAGGCGATAAGGGCGCCGAAGGGGGAGATGGTGGCGCATCCGTTTCGGTTTTTGGAGGAGAGGAGGGGTTTTTTGGATATTAGGGTGAGTAGGGTGTGACTGGCGGGCTGGAGAGGGATGATGACTGACGGTTTCATAGGCGAAGCGGATGGAGTTTGCGGATTGGGTGAGGCAGGCGGGGCCGGAGGTGCAGACTTAGGGAGGAGGCGGTTGGGGGAGACTTTGCGAGGCGATATGTTAGATCATTCAAGTATGTCGAGGCTTTGCGGAATCCAGGGTGATTGTGTCAAGGTATTGATGACATCAAGGGATATGTAGTGAATATAAGTCTTACAGCATCACAGTTTGACGTGGATAGTGTACTTGTACAATGACGGACTGCATTCATCGCTGCGTATAGGTATAAATATTATAACGGCGTTTTACCAGCCATCCGCGCCCGTTTTTCATATGTCCAAACCCCAGCTGAATTCCGGAATCAGCATCGAATGCCAGGACGACCTCATAATCGTCTAGACCACGTTGTACCTCCCACTCGCCGGCGCCCTCGACTCCGAATCCGCCGCCGCCATCGTCCCCTCCCTCAGCAACCGCCACAGCTCCCTCATCGCCGTCGTCACCACCACCTCCGTATCCCCCTCCACCAAAATATACAACTTCGCATGCTCCCCGGCGGCCGGTTCCTTGCCCGCCCCGTAGTAATTCCCTTTCGTCGTGATGCTCGTCCCTGTCGCCTCCAGTATCTTCGCCACGTTCGTCCGGTTCGTGACCGCCCACCGCGCCTTCTGCGGGAAGTCGTTGATCTCCAGGCGGGCGTGGAACGCGCCGGCATCCGGGCCTTTGTTGTCGATGGGTTGCCCGGAGCCGGTGCCTTGGCGTGTGAGGCGGCTGCTGATGCTTTGGACGGCTTGTTGGACGCGGTCGAGGGCGGTGGAGCCGGTGGTGGAGGGGACTTCGGTCTTGTGGACGACGATTTTTTCCTCGAACGGGAGGGACTTGCCGGCGTCGGCGTCGTGGGCGGGAGCAGCGGACGTGGCGGTAGCGGTAGGCGCAGCTTTCGCGATGGCTTTCTTGAACAACTCTTCTTCTTTGCCCTCGTCCTTCTCTTCCTCTTCGGGCTCGTCGCCGGTGCGGTAGGCTTTCCGTTCGCGGTTGCGAGCCGATTCGCGCTCCAGGTCCAGTTTCTCGAGACCTTTGCCGCCGAAGCCAGACGCGCTAGCCTTTTCTTTCCCAGATTTGACTTTGTCGATAAAGTCGTTCACCATCTTCCCCAGGTCTTCGGGGATCGGTTGGCCGGATTGTTTCAAGGCCTTGGCGATGTCGACCGAGTAGCGCTCCTGCTCGGGGGTGACGAACGTGACGGCGGTACCCGTATTGCCTGCTCTCCCAGTCCGGCCGGCTCGGTGTACGTAGTCTTCCAGATGGTTTGGGCAGTCGTAGTTCACAACCAGCTTCAGCTGCTTTACATCCAACCCTCTGGCCGCGACCGAGGTGGCGATGAGGATGGGGACGGCGCCAGCCTTGAAATCTTGGATGTTGGAATCCCGATCCTCTTGTGCTTTCGCACCGTGGATAGAGTGACAAGGGTATCCTTTGCGCATCAGGTCGTTCAGGAGTCCATCGGCCGATTCCTGACGGTCCACGAAGACGAGAGTGCGTGCCTCCTCGTCCGTGTCATACAGTTGTCCCAGAAGCTCTAATAGTCGCAAGAATTTCGACTTCTCCTCACGGACTTCGACCACCTGCGTGATTTCCGGGGCGACGACACTCTTTCCTCCAACGATGATCTCGACCGGCTTATTCAGGGTCTTTCGTGCGAGTGCTTCCATGTTCCGAGGGAACGTGGCGGAGAAGAGCACGGTTTGTTTTTGGGGTCGAATATTCGCCATGATCTTCATGACCTGTGGCTCGAATCCCATGTCGAACATTCGGTCCGCTTCGTCCAGCACCACGTATGTAACTCTCCTCAGATTCGTAACCCGTCCGGAGTTGGCGCCAAGCAGATCGATCATACGGCCAGGAGTGCAAACCACAATCTCGGCACCTCGCTTCAGCTCCGCGATTTGGTCCTTGATCGGAGCGCCGCCGTACGCACAAACGGCGCGGAGACCAAGGGCTTTGAGGAATGGCTTGCATTCGCGGTGGATCTGCGTCGCGAGTTCTCGAGTGGGGGTCATGATGAGTCCGACCGGACCCTCCATCGAAGACAACGGTCGCTGGTCCTTGATGTGCCGGAACATTGGCATCAAGAAAGCGATGGTCTTCCCGGAGCCCGTCTTGGCGACACCAATAACGTCTCGGCCCGCCATGATCGCTGGGATTGCCTGCGATTGAATGGCGGTTGGTGCATCGTAGCCTAGCTTGTCGACCACATCTAAAGTCTGTACTCCGAGCCCGCACTGCGTCCATGTCCTAACCGGCCTTGGAACATCAACGCCGCGAACTTTGATGCCATCCAGCTCGAGCCGAAGGTCGGCAGCTTCTTCCTCCGTCAAATCACGTAGCTCTGGCAGCTCCACATAGAAATCCTTTCGGAATGGTTCATAGTCCACCTTCGCATGATCGACGGTGGGGATCTCCTTCTTTTTCTTCTTGCTTGCAGCCGCGATTAAAATATCTTCATCCGCTTCGACTGCATCCATGCCATCGTCGTCGCCCCCGAAGATTGCCTGAGGTTCTTGTAACGCATTTCTTTTTGCCGGTTTCTTGGCAGCGTTCGGTTTTTCATCGCCTAGATCAGCCATGAATGCATCCAGAGGGTCGACATCCTCATCGACTTGCATCTCGTCCTGTACATCGGCGCCAGTAGCATCTTGCATATCTACATCATTTTCAGTCCCTGGAGCGACTTCAGTATTCTCGGTTTGCAAGCGCTCTTCTCTCTTCTCTGCGGCTGCACGAGCTGCGGCTGCGGCCTCCTCTTCCGTGCCAGCATCGGCAAAATCTTCCCCTTCGTCGTCATCCGCCTCTGCCGGGTTGCCTTCAGCAGCACTGGTTTCAGTAGAATCGGGGGTTGGAAGGGTTGGAAGCTTTTCTAGCTTCCGCTTCGTCGATTCCTCGTCGCCGAAATTGAGAGTCCCTTTTTTCTCGGATTTGTCTGCTTTCGCCCCAAGACCGAATCGGTTGACATTACCACTTGCTTTGAGCGGTTTGAGAGAGCCTCCTTGAGCTAGTTGTTTGGTTAGCGGAGGGGGTTCGGACCCTTTGGTGGAAGAAGACTTACGGGGTCCCATGCCGACTTTCGCTGGAACTCCCTTTGTAGCACCTGCGGTAGAGATTGATGTCGTTGATCCTGGCTTTACCGGAACCGGGACATCAATTCCTAGAGCCGAAGAACTGCTCGCATGCCCTCCAAGTGCTCGTTTAGCGATGGCTTTCGGGTCGAACTTCCCCGTATAAGGAGCTGGTGAATCGGGACCGCTTGTAGGAGCTGGAGAGCTAGGTGACCCGACTGAGGGAGATCCGGCGGCCTTTCGATCCATCTCATTGAGTAGATTTCTGGTTCCAAGTGCAGCGGATTCTTTCTGCTTACGTTCACGCTCCGCTACCTGCTTGGCCTTCCAAGCTTCGAGTTTTGCTAACTTTTCTGCCTTCTTCTTCTCTTCTTCAGCGGCCTTGGTGGCAGCGGCGGCTTCCTGTCGAGATGTGAGTAGATGCCCATTGTGACCGACGTGAAAACTACGCACCTCAGCCGCCTTTGCACTGGCCCCCCGATCGCCTCTCCGGTCATCATCTCGTCGGTCTCGCGAATTGCGTCGACGATGCTCGCGGTCATCGTCTCGTCGGCTTCTAAAACCTCGATCTCTATCGCGATCACGATCTCGCCGGTCCCTAGGTGACCTTGACCGTCTCCGTTCTCTCGAGCGATCTCGTCGTCCCGGCCTGTAACTAGAATCATCGTACCGATCGCCACCACGGTGTCTGTCTACCGATCGATTTCGTCGTCTGTCGTCACGGTCTCGCGGCCTCCGCTTGAGTTCTGTCAGATACGAAGAGGTGGAAGAATGAGGGCCAAACCGTACATCCGCGCTCCGGGACCGGCTCCGTCTTCGATCTTTGCCATCACGATGCCGGTCATCTTCTCGGCGCACGCGCTTAGAGTAATTGCTTCCTGTCGGAGATGGTGAGCGAGTGTCTCGGCGAGCCATTGCTCGGGAGCCTGGCCGACTGAGTGAGTATTACTGCTGTATTGAGTCCGTTGCAAAGGTAGTGTCCAGAGATGACTTGTTAGAGTAATCGAGCCCGGTGAGTGGGAGGTATTAAATGCTACGAGCAGGCCGATAGAGTATAGTGCGATATCGAATGGGTTTCAAGGCGGTTGAGGAGTGAGTTTGACATGAGGGTGAGGTATCGAAGTGAGTCTGGGTCTGGTCAAGTTTAAAGTTTCATGCACGCAGCCTGGCCTATGTAGGATGTTTGCGCCTTACAGCCTTATAACACTGAGTCAGTTGCCAAGCCTCCAGTCCACTATATGAGTCATGTCGTCATCCCGCGGTGGGTCATCATGATATCAACGGCTCGCGCGAGACCCCGTTCTGCGACCTTCAACATCCCGAACTGCTCTATACACAGCAATTGAGCAGCAATGGCATCTCGAAGAGTCGTATTAGGTGTTCGGGCAATTGCTCGAGCTGCCCAGCAGTATTCGGTTCAATCACGTACCGTGAAACCTACTTCACTGCTTCGCAATCGGCTACCGACGTCACCGCATCCCGCTGTACCGTCCTGTGCTGCTGTCCAGACCAGATGGGCGTCGTCCGCCACGGATCCGAATTTGAAGAAGACCCGGCTCTATGACCTTCATGTCGCAAATGGGGGACAGATGGTCCCGTTTAGCGGATATTCCATGCCGGTTCAATACAAGGACTTGAGCATCGTTCAATCGCATTTGTGGACGAGGGAGAAGGCCAGTCTGTTTGATGTTAGCCACATGTTCGGAGTCCTCTTTCTTTAGACAATCCTTACCGAGTTGTTTGTTTTACCAGCTGAAACTAATAGAGATACACAGGCTGCAACACCACTTCTCCGGACCAGGCGCCGCAGGATTCCTCTCCCTCATCACGCCCTCGTCCCTCTCGACTCTCCCCACCAACCAATCCACCCTCTCCTGTCTCCTCCACCCCGAAACCGGCGGCATCATCGATGACACGATCATCACCAAACTCCGCCCTGAGCTCTTCTACGTTGTCACCAACGCCGGCTGCCGCGAAAAAGACACCGCCTACCTCCAAACTCACCTCGACGCCTGGACCGCTGCCGGCCACTCCGAAGTGACCTGGACCCCCCTCCCTGACAACAGCCTCCTCGCCCTCCAAGGTCCCCTCTCTTCCTCCATCCTCTCCTCCCTCCTCGCCCCCGATCATCCCGTCGAGCTCCAAAAAGTCCTCTTCGGCCAATGCGTCGAGATCAGCATCCAGCTACCCAACGGCGACGTCGCCCGCAACATCCTTGCTTCTAGAGGCGGCTACACCGGCGAAGACGGCTTCGAGCTCTCCCTCCCTCCGGCGGTCGACCCACACGAGGTCGCCTCCACGCTCCTCCAGCACGCCGGCCCCGACCAGCTTCGCCTGGCCGGCCTCGCGGCGCGCGATAGCCTACGCCTAGAAGCGGGGATGTGTCTTTACGGAAACGACCTCGACGAGACGACGACGCCAGTGGAAGCGGGGCTGGGGTGGGTGATTGGGAAAGACCGACGTGCGAACGGCGGGTTCCATGGCGCGGACACGATTCTGGGTCAGTTGAAGCTGAAGAAGGATGGGGGGACGGGGGTGGCGAGGAGGCGGGTAGGATTGACTGTGGAGGGGGCGCCGGCGCGGGCGGGGGCGGAGATCGTGGTAGGGGGGGAGAAGGTGGGGGTGGTGACGTCGGGGTGCCCGAGTCCGAGTTTGCGGAAGAATATCGCGATGGGGTATGTCAAGAGTGGGTTGCACAAGGCGGGGACGGAGGTGGGGGTGGTGGTGAGAGGGAAGGAGAGAAAGGCGACGGTGACGAAGATGCCGTTTGTGCCGAGTCGATATTGGAAGGGGGCGGCGCCGGCGTAGGTTGTACAATAGTGGTGAAGATGTGGATATCTACCCCTTTTCATATACAAATTCACAATAGACCGCTCTCGACAATAAAGTGCAACATCGCCGAACGCTTCATTGACATGCAAACAATAGACATTAAGTAAACCAATACCGCCATCCACCCAACACCCCACTACCGTATCCCTGACTCCCCAAACACAATCTGCACCACCTCATCCAACAACGTAAACACCAAATGTGCATTCAACCTCTCATTATTCAACACCGCCAACACCCTCCTCCCCGCCCCCTGCGCATTCCCTCTCCCCACCACACTCCCCACCAAATCCGGCACCAACACACTCAACAACGCCCCCGCCTCCGCCCTCGTCGCCGCCCGCTCCCCCTCCGTCCTCACTACTGCCTCCCTCCCCTTCCCCCCGGGCCACATCATGCCCTCCACCACCCCCAGCCACCTTACCATCGCCTCCGCGGACGTCGACGCCTTGAATCCATCGCGCACCTTCCGCTCGACGGTCCCGCCGAGGAGCTGGTGCAGGACGACGACGACGGCGCGGCCGCGCAGCCAGTTGGATTCGCGGTTTAGCTCGAAGGCTTCGAGGAAGAGGTCGCTGATGGGTTTGACGAGGGGGAGGAGCTCGCGGGAGTCGTAGGCTTGGAGTTCGGCTTCGGCTTCGGCGGCGGTTTGAGGGTCGTTAGTGAGGGGGGAGGTAGTGGAGGTGAGAGCGGGGGGGAGGTTGCCGTTCGGGTTAGGATTGTTGTGTGGGTGCGGGAGGGCGGCGGCGTTGGAGGCGGCGAGCTGTGTGGTGGCGGCGCTGATGAGGTTTTGGCCGGCGAGAGAGAGTTGGTCGAGAACGGGGATGTTGCCGAGGAACTCCTCCATGCCGTCGGTGACGGAGTTGTAGATGCGGGAGACGAAGTCGCGGGTGTCGGCTTGGGGGTCTTGAGGGTTGCGGTGGGCGATAGAGGCTTGGGAGAGGAACGCGCGGAGTTCGCGGCTGCGGCAGATAGCGGGAATGAGGAGGAGTTCCTGTTAACGTCAGTATGCGAGTCTCGAATAATTGTGGAAATGCGTGATGAGCATACTTGGAGATATCGCTCGAGGAGGATCCGCCGCTTCTGTAGGAAGTCTTTCTGCAGCTTCAACACCATCTGCCGTCGTGGGAACTCCAGGTTTCGCACCTGCGAATACCGAGCACGGAGTCGCTTGTTCAGTTCATGGAACTCGCTATATCGCCGAGCGACAACCCATGCAGCCGCTGGCATCTGCTCGCCAGCTTCCCGCCGCACTTCGATCACATCTGAAATATGTCAATTCCCGTTCGACCGCGAATATAAAAACCGGAAACTTACACAAAGCGTACTCCTTCCCATCCGGCTCCTGCCCCACCATGATCGACGTAATCGAAATCGTCGCCCGCCCAAACAAACTACTCTCGCTCTCCTGCACGATATACTGCTGCCGCTGCAACTCCTTCCGACTAATCTCTCGCTGCAAGCTCGTCTTCGACTTCCGCAAGATCCTTAGCTCCGCCGCATTGTTCGTCAGCTCCGCCTTCTTCATCAGCGAATCCACGATTGCCTCCTGCGTCACCAGCTTCTCGATGTCCCCCGTCAGCGCGTCGATCGCCTCAGCGAGGCCGAGGTCGCCCGGCGCCGCTTCGTGGATCTCGTCCTCCACGGGCGTCTTGATATCATCGCTGTCCTCCCGTTCGTCCTCGATGAACTTCTGTTCGTCGCCGAAAAGGTCGTCGTGGAACACGCCGCGGCTCGCCGGCCCGCCGACGAGGCCCAGCGACGCGATGCTGAGCTTCCCCTTTTTCAGCGCGGGAGACCCGGCCCGCGGGATGTCCAGCGAGCTGCGGAGCGAGTCGGCGTCGGGGGGGGAGCGGACGGCGGGGTCGGAGAACAGCGAGTCGGGGTCGGGTGGTTCCTCGAGGATGTGGTTCAGCGCGGTCTGCATGGCGTCGACGACTTTGGGGTCTTGCACGTTTTTTGCGGGGCCGGGGTCGGAGTCGAGGCTTTGGACGGAGTCAGCTAAGGGGTCGGCGCTGGGTTCGTCGTCGAAGAGGGGTGCACGGTTGGAATCGTCGAGTGATCGTCGGGGAGACTCGTCCCCGTTCTCGGATCGGGCTACGTCTCGTAGATTCGTCGCGGAGACGACCGCTCGTCGGAGGTCGGTTGGCTTCAATGCGTTGGTTGTGCTCAGGCGGGCATTCCGAGGTTTAGGAGCCGCATGTTTTCTGAACTCCTCCACCTGGCCGAGGGAAGATGTAGGGCTGGGTGGAGCGGGGATCGCTTCTCGTTCTTCCGATGCCAGAAGCTTGAACCAGAGATCTGTCTTCTTGAAGTTCCGGAAGTGCACATCCTGCATCTCCTCGTACACGGCCGTCTGCGCCTCCAGGACCGCCCGTCTTGCCGCGTGATATTGTGCCCCAGTCGCTTCTTTCCCGGCTCTTAGGAACGACTTCACCGCTTCCTTCGCCACTGGCGAGACCTTCAATTCCGGCTTCGATAGATACCCGCCGTTGATCTGCGCCAGATCCGTGCGGTCGGACTCGGTCCAATATGCGTCGCCGCCCACGTATTCCGACGGGTCGTCCGTGTCGACTTCGAGCGGGTTGCGGAACCCATCGACGACGATCCAGAACTGCACGAGGCGGATAAGGCCCAGTCGCTCCATATACTCCATGAAGCACGATAGCCCCGAGGCGTTATACAACACCTCCCGCAACGCGGCGTTTTCCAGCGTTGACGACGGCGTCGCCTGCCCCGGCGGCTGCAACGACAACTTCGGCTTCCCGAACGCCCCCGCGCCCAGACTCGCGATCTTCTGATCCAGCATGCGCTTCCCCGTTTCCAGCCGTCGCAGGTACAGCGGATCCTGCCCTTCCTCGTTGGACTCTTTCCATAGTTGGCTGGCCACCTCGCTCCGGAACCGACGCGCGTCCGAGAGATTGTTGCATTTCCGGACCGCTCGGATGAATCGCTCGAACCGCCGCTCGCTATCATTCGCGGACAGCTTCGGGAAAACAGCGGGTTTACCTGACTTTGGGGACGGCGGAGCGTGCTCGTCGAGGGCAGCCCGTAACTTTCGGACCGTCTTCCGCTCTTGAAGAAATGCGCGCCCATATCCCTCCAGCAATTTATTCCATGTATCCGGGTCGATCAGCGCCTGCGTCACGGGATAGAGCACCGCACACGATACAATCTCCTTCACCAGCACCACGACCGACGCGCTCTTAGTCATGTCCTCCGGGAGCAGCAGGGTCAGACACCGTGTCACGATCCCTCTCAGATGCTGCTGCTGCGCGGTCTTCGGGTTCGCATATGCCAAACTCGCCGCTGCATGCAGCTTGCCCTCCCGAAACTTCGCCGCAATGGCCAGATCCAGCTCCTCGGATTCGGTGACGCTGCGGCTCAACTTCCTTCCCCGCACCGCGCGCTCGGCCTCGTCGAAGTCGCGCAGATGCTCGGTGACGATGGGGATGAGGCGCGAGACAACGATGTCGACGAGGTCGAGCGCAAGGACGCGGTCGAGGATGTTCTTCAGGGCGGTGCGGATGGCGCGGTCGACTTCGTTGGTGAAGGTGGGGCGCGGGCTGATCTTGGAGTACCAGGATTGCACGAAGTCGCGGAGGATGAGGTTGAGGAGGCGGTCGGCGGCTTGGGAGACCTCGGAGGAGGGGGGGTAGATGGGATCGCGGCGGTAGAGGAGATGGCGACGTTGCGCGGCGGTTTCGAGCTGCCAGGTTTGGGGAGCGATGAACGCGATGCGGTCTTCTTTCTGAGTTCGTGGTCGTTGGAGGGCTCGTTTTCTCCGAGCCGTGGTGAGGATGAGCCAGAGGGATATTGCGACCGTTGCGACAACGCCGGACACGAAGGCGTATGGGATCCATCGGATGGAGGGAACCCAGTGGGTAGCATATCCCCATGCGATAAAGACAGCAAGGACGGCTAGGATGACATGGCGTCTACGAAGTTCCATAATCCCGTCTCTCAGCTATATGGGCCCCGCGGAGGAGCATCTTTTGGAATCTAGAGTCGGGTGGATAGCGAGATGCATGCACAACTGCAAGGGACATTAACATGAGAGTAGGTCATGATATTGAGGGTGTTGATGTCTGGAGGAAAGCCATGGTGAGGAGTTGTCGGGTCTTTCACCGTCTAAGCAATGGGAGAAATCGTTAATACCAGATGATTCTCACTTTCTGGGTTGTACAAGCAATATGTGTACAAGCAATATGTGTCCAAGCGTTGGAGGATATTAAAGTGAGATCTGCGGTGAATCGGAGATACTCTGTATCCATACTCCATACATATGGTTCTCTGGATTCAGGGATGCTCAGCCACAATGATGCGACAATCGGATCAGTCCCGTTGGGCCACCACGTTTCCCTCACAGGGAGTATCTCAGATGTACTCCGTATTAATTACCTTACAGTAAGCAAGTTTGTACTACGTAGTATGAGCACTGAATCTCCCCTCGTTTCGATACTCTTGATATGATCCCTAATGAGTAATGATGTCTCGCTATCGACCACGCCTTCTCAAGATCTTCGTCTTCCAGCACCCAGACACTGCCATACATAGAAGGATCATACTCTCGTCCATTGGCTGAAGCTCCGGAATTGATCTTAATCCAATCCAGGCCAAAATAAGCCTGGCGAGTCCAGTCGGGTAGCAGTACCGATCCTAGCCATGGTGGTGGTGACGTAACCACCATCCCTCCCGCTTCAGCAGCAACTGAAAGCTGTGAATGAAGTGGTACGCAGCATATACGTGGACTTGCGATGTATATAAACCGCATCATCGCCGTTCAATCTTGCTCGTCCTCTATTCTCTCTGCCGTACTTGCATGCCAAATCGCCTTGCAAAACCCATCTTCTCTGATCAGATCATCGCCAGCAACCAGCCCACTCGTACTACTACCTGCATCCTCCTATTCCACGATGCCACTCGTCGTCCCAGGCCTCACCACCTCGTCCAAGGACAAGACCGAGGAATGGAACCATAAACTCATGGGGAAGAAGATCGGGGAGGAGTCGAACGAGATTGTATGTTGTCCCCATGATCCTGCGTCGATGACATACTGCTTCGACGTGCTGATACTGATGTGAGGGACAGTTCTTCGCAAAGAAAGACCTCCCTTCCGAGCACCGGGTCGTCAAGGAGGGGGATATGATGACCATGGACCACAAACCTGACAGGTATCCATCTCCCAGGCCTCCAAAACGTTAAGCATAACTAACGCGAATACAATAGGCTGAACATCCACGTCGCCGACGATGGCACGGTCAACAAAGTCACACATGGCTAGGCCTCTATTTCAACCCATATGTACGGAGATAGTACAGAGAACGTGCCCCTAAGGCCCATTCTATAGCCCATTTCCGAGATAATACCCGAACAATGTTATACACGACCTCATGCAATCCTCTTCAAAAATCCTTCCCTTGCCGCTCTCTCTCCATACGCGTGTCAAAATCCCGCTGTGCCTCCCCCTTCGCCAACTGCGCCTCCTCCTCCGCCCGCGAAAAGCCAAACATATCCCCATCATCCCCGTTCCTTTCGTTATTCTCGCCCCCCTGCGGTCTCCGTGCCCACCGCGGCGGCCCCGGCGTCCCTCCTCTCCGCCCGCCCTGCTGCTCCGCCTGCGTCTCCCGCCGGATCCGCTCCCACGACGACTCCGGCGGCGCTCCGGCGGTCGGCGACGCATCGTCGACGTCGTTGCTAGACGAACCCATCCCCCACGCCGTGTCGTTCTTCGCGTTATACACCTCATCGCCCGGTCTCGGATCGTCGCGCGGAGGAGCTGCATCGCCCCATCCCGCTGTCGAGCCGCCCTCGTCGCCCGCCGTCCGTCGTGGCGCATCACCGCCCGCCATCCTCCCGCCAAATACCCCCTGACTCCGCTCCCCCTGCCCCTGACCCCCCCGCATCTCCCCCTGCGCCCTCCGCAGCGCCTTCCTTAACCCGTCCAACTCCGTATTATTCAACACCGTCTGCGCAAACGCCGACACATGCATCGTCGACGCAATAAACCGCGCCCCCACCAACCACGCGAACGTCGTCGGCGCCACCCGTGCGCTCGCGAACAGCGCCCGCAACAACGGCGTCTCCCGCATCCCGAACTTTGCCGGCGTACATTGCTCCACCTTCGCGTTCATGAACACCAGACTGAACTCCCCCTTCGCCCGCTCGAGCGCGAGGTGGCGGCGCAACGCGAAGGCCAGCAGCGGCGGCTCGACCCAGGAGGGGTAGGTGACTTTGGTGGCGGTGGCGGAGGCAAGGATCTGGGACTCGGTGGGGGTGAGGGGCCGAGCGATCTGTTGGGCGAACTTGGTGAGTTCGGCGTCGACGTGGGCGAGTTTGCGGGCGTGGGTGAAGCCTAGGAGGGGGCCGAGGACGGGGAAGACGATGGGGAGGCTGTTGGGGTCATAGTGGAAGAGGGGGCCGGTGAGGGGGTCGTTGGAGGGGGTGGAGGTGTAGGTGTCGTTGCCGAGCGAGTCGGGGGGGGAGAGGTCGGCGAGGACCATGGTGGTGATGGTGGTGGGGATGGGAAGGTTGGGAGAGGTTTTAGTTCTTAATCATGGAGCTCATGCATGCTCTGGTTGCTTGTCGATTGTTCCTTAAGCGAATTGGAGCTTGAGCTTTGAGGGATGTGAGAAGTGAGTGTGAATCATGACAGAAACATCTGACGAAGGTCACGAAGCTTGCTGTGATCGAAGAAGAATGGATTCCTGAGGCTTTAAGGCGGAAAGTCGACGTCACCAGGTTTCAACGGATGCTCTGCCTGAATGTTTGGTTCAACTCCAACATCCTGCTGCCGGCATTCGTCAGTAACAAATATGTATAAATTCACTCAGGTATAGGTCTGATTGAAAGTTTACGATCTTTGCCATGGGCCTGCTTTCGGGGGTGTCCAGGGTGACTTTCCTTGCCGTTTCGCACGGACAGTATTTCCAATCTTGCGGAACTTGTTATGACAGATACATCGAGGTAGCTATCAACACCTAGGCAAACGCATTCCATACACCATTGCCGCCAGGAACTTATCGTGATGTATGCGCTTACACAAGATATCCCGGTCCATATCTCATTCGGTGTACACTAACCCTTCTTCTAGCACCACTGTCGCGTCTCAAGATGAGTCGAGCAAACTTACCCGACGAACAAGGCGACCTAGCTCGAGTCCGTAGCTCGTACGCTCGAGAGAACGCACGAGTAATGGATCGGGCTCCTACAGTAGAAGCGCGGTTCTTCTATACCTCCCCCCTCGCCATCGACGACCCTCTCTCCCCTCTTCCCCCCCAGATGATCGGTCCCGCAGCAGCAGCGAAGCAGCCGCCTCGCCCTTTTTCCATATACGACAACCATATGCTGGAGAAAACCTGGCTAGACCTCCGGCAGAAGGTGCTGAAATATCAGGAGAATCTGCAGAGCGAGAAGAGCAGGTCGAAGGATATGGAGGAAGGGGAGTCGAGGGCGGGGTCACGGAGTGGGAGGGCGATGGGCCAGGTCGGGGATGTGCAGCGGAAGAGGTGGTCGTGGGAAGAGTCAAGAGGTGTTTCGGGCGTGGACCCGGATAGAAATCGGTCAGGGAGACGCAGTACAGTTACCGAAGCGTTGGATAGAGACGGACGAGAGCGGGAAACCGGAAACGGCGAGGAATACTCCCAGAGCCTTCCGGTTCGCCAGACACCGACATCAGGTTTGGCCGCAGCATCCGGTAACACCCTCACGACCGGCAATCCGTTCATCCGAGCTCCTTCGAGGACGAAGATCAATCAGATGTCGGAATCAAGTGACGGTCCGAAACCAGGAAAACCAGCGCTGACGATGATGGATAGCTACGATTGGAGCGACGATCCACCTCGAGACATGCTGATGAATCGCAGGGCAGGAACCTCGCCATCATCTCAAAAGCCCACCTCATCCAGTCCGACTGCGACGGTCCCGGTCGGGGTATCTCGACTGCATAGCGTGATAATGCCTCGGCTGCAGATGGAGCCGATATACTGGTCTCCAGTACAGGACATTGCCGCAGTCATCCGCGGGACCTGGTTCTACAGAGACACTATGCTCCCCGTAGAGTCCGAAGTCGCGAACATGCTGGAGCTGGGATACCTGCAGATGCAGCCGTGGACGGAGACCTGGAGGGACGAGTTGAACAGTGCGGTGGAAGTAGGTGCTCTTGGGGAAATGAAGATCCTCCACAGACTCTGGCCGGAAAAGAAGACCGTCCCTGAAAGTCGGCCGACGACTGCGCGAGGTGAGGTGGTGCAAGACGTTACTCCGCTGGATCGGGAGGCGGTTGACCCCGAGAAAGAACGGACGGAAACTGCTGCGGGTGCTGGAGAGCTTATCGATATCTCGAATGGACCGGATGGGCCAGACAACAAGGCCACTGGAACTAGCCCCTTCGGTAAAGATGGCAGAGTACGGCACTATGCCAGTGCCGGCATTATCTACGCAAACGAGAAGGACGCGTACATTCTTCGTCCGAGTCTCCAGCCGTCGGAATATTATGGGAGGCGACCGTACGCCAGCTACATTCGCAAAGGACACAAGATCGGAATTCCCGTGCTTCGAGGCTTTAATCAAGAAGTATGGGATAAGCTACATCCTCCAAAGAAATCTCCGGTAGCCGTACACGCTGCCGAAGGTGTCTCGACTGCACAAGGTCATAATGCCCCTCCGATATCCCAAAGGCAGTTGCTTGACCCGACTCTAGCAAGAGCTGAAAGACCCAAGGTTACGGACCTCATTTTGGTCATACATGGGATTGGGCAGAAGTTGTCGGAACGGATGGAGAGTTTTCATTTCACTCATGCGATGAACGCTTTCAGACGGGAGATTAATGTCGAGCTTGGCATTGATACTGTCAAGACAAACTTGCGGGAGGACATGGGGGGGATTATGCTTTTACCTGTAAGTTCTGTCATTCATACTCTGCATCTATTCGACACTAACGATTCGTAGGTTAACTGGCGACTGGGCTTATCCTTCGAAGACGGCGGATACCGCGATGAAAACGAAGATCCGGCACTCAACCAATTCACCCTGAAAGACATCACTCCCGACTCCCTCCCCGCGGTCCGCGACATCGTCTCCGACGTCATGCTCGACATTCCCTACTACATGTCCCCCGAGCACAACCCCAAAATGGTCCGCGTCTGCATCGCCGAAGCCAACCGCATCTACCGCCTCTGGTGCGCCAACAACCCCGGCTTCCAATTCTACGGCCGCGTCCACCTCATCGCCCACTCCCTCGGCAGCGTCATGGCTACCGACATCCTCTCCACCCAACCCACCCATGTTCCCCCCTCCTACGGTGACCCGTCTACCCCCGTCTCCGACCTCCCCACCACCCACTTCCTCTTCAACACCACCTCCCTCTTCACCGCTGGATCCCCCATCGGCTTCTTCCTCCTCCTCAAACGTGGGACCCTCCTCCCCCGCGCCGACCGCCGCAAACCTGGCGCCGACCCCGCCGACGCCCTCGCGCCCGGCGTCGCCGGCCACGAGGGGCAGTACGGCTGCCTCGCCGTCGATAACGTCTACAACATCGTCAACCCCTACGACCCCGTCGCGTACAAGGTCAACGCCGCCGTCGACACCGCGTACGCTGCCTCGCTCAAACCCGCCTGGATCCCCAGCTCTCGCGGTGGGCTCTTCTCCCGTGCGGCGAACTCCACCGTCCCACTCCCAACCATGCCACACCCCGGCCATATGACACGCTTACCATCAACCGTTGAGCTCGAAACGCATAATTTCACGCGGGAGGAGATCGCGGAGAAGCGGGCGTACCTGCTCAACGACAACGGGCAGGTGGACTTTTTCCTGCGGTATGGCGGCGGTGCGCTGGAGATTAAGTATCTGACGATGCTGGGGGCGCATAGCTCGTATTGGTTGAGTCGGGACTTTACGCGGATGGTGGTAGTGGAGGTGGGGAGGCGGGTGGGGCGGGATGGGTGTATTGCGGGGATGAGGGCGGTGAAGAAGAGGGGAGGGAAGGAGTGATTGATGGATGGGTCGGTCAAGCGTTCAAGTTATTCTGGGGCGTTCTTGGGTTTATGTGTCAGTGGTGTTTCTATGCCGGATACCAAGGCTACAGGTATATTCCCCATCCATAGACGTTATTAGATCTGCTTCGGCAGCATTTCGTCCACGTCTTCTCTCCCCCTTTTCTTCGCTTCAGTCGCTTCGCCACGCCCCAACCTCGCCATTCCGGCGTGACAAACACCCGTTAATGACGAAGTCCACAGTCGAAGGACGTGCTGCCTTCGATGGATCACAATCCACATCCGGTGGAATCATTGTATTCACCTCCCCTTCTGTCTTAGCAACCGGCCCGATCAAGACAGTCATCCCGACCCATTGTCCCGATATCAGTCGCCGTAGCTCCACATCTGCCCGTGAATCGCCATCACTGTCGAACTCTGACAGTTGCTCGTCCGTCGAAGCCACTGCCACATATAAATGCGCTAGTGGGTTCATCAGTCGATCCGTCCAGTCCTCCTTACTGAACCCCGACCCCCGCTCGTGGCTAGAGCCGAAGGACTCGGGGGTTGATCTGAAGGGATAAGAGGCGAATGTCGCGGTATTTGGAGAGGAAGTAATTGAATGCGGGGCGGCGGGGGTTGGTTTGGGGGACGTGGATGACTGAAGCCGTGTTTCTGAGATTGGGCACGGAGTGGTAGATGTGACGAATGGTTCATGGCTGGGTTGCAATGGAGCGTGGATACACTTTGAGAAACAGACCGTGACATTCGCGACTTGTAAGGTTTCGCATCGGTCTTACTAGTAATCGGGGAAAAAAAGAGAGAGAAGACAGAAGACAAGTATAGGGCGCAGAGTCGAACCTTGACCACAGCGTTCTCCCTCCCGATTTCAGACCCTGGTACTGCCTCCAGGATAAGTACTTTATGCCCTGGATTGACCGCAGTGGCATCCTTAATCATAAATCAGCTTAACTGGTTTATATGTGCTGCCTAAGCAAATTCATTCACCCGCCACTATCATTTCCCAGGTGCAACAACGATAATCTTTACCAAAATCGAAGGTAGTTCACAACAGGGGTCCGATATACAGTCGGGGATCACTGCAAGGGCATTATTTCTTGAGAGCCCACCAATTATCGGCTCTACGGTTACCTCTTTCAGTGCTACTCAGTCTGTTTATTGTGAGTCACAGTCAGCGCAACTGCCAGTTATAGTTTAGCATTAGGATACCCTATGAGTCTCCTGATTGACCTAGAAATCAGTGTCGTAATAGCTCAGCTCGATGCTCCCATATAAGTCAAGCCCCAGATCAGCATAGATACAGATCGGTAGGGAGGCGGAAAGCCATTCGCGTCCACCGGAACGGGCGGTCTCATGGTTCCCATCCTGCCGGTGATCATGGGAATACTAGACGTACTTGTGCCATGTCAGACTAGGCCAGGTCGACGATAATTATCCTTTTCACACCATGCCATAGGGAACCGCGTCCACGACTCCACAGGAACATGGCTCTCCGCCAATTCGAAAAGTGTGCCTCGGCAAGCCGCGTCGTGCACGGCTTGGGGACCAATTTTTTGATCAGGTTCCGATACATGCTCTTCATTTTGTCTGTGTACTCAGAAGACATGGATTGGTACTGGTGGATCCCGCCGTCTAGATAATGAAACCGAGAACCTTCCCATGTCAGTCCCTGGATTTCTCCGTTGATATATCTCCACAACTCAGTCACTGAAAGGTTTTCGGGTACGAACAACTGCCTCCGGGGCAAGACTGTCATCCAGACAACCCAATAATGGTTATAAATGGATTCCGGGTCATGATACAAAGTACACTGGCATTGAATGTTGTCGCAGAATAGTCCCAAGCCAACCATTCTTTCCAAAGACCAAAGACCAAATCCTAATCGTTGGAGCGAAAGACAACCTCTAGAAAGGGGATCGACGGCAATTGGCCATTCTCCTCTGAAACCAGCTGCTTCCGACGCTGGCGGTCTCCAGCTTAGGGATATTAAAACACAGATAGCGTTCAATTTCTTGGGGGGTTTAGGGAGCTTCCGCATTGTATATTTAGGAAGGTCGTTGGCGTCGATCATGCGGCTGATGAGGCCTTCTACAATGAATTCGCTGGATTTCGGAGTCATGAGGTCTTGAAGGCAATCATGGATAGTTCAAAACTCATCGTGTAGATAGTTCACATAGAGTCGCCTACGAAACCGATTAAAGGGCTCCGTCTCGGTATTGCCACTTAGGCCTAGCAGAAAGTTTTGGAAGGATATCTTCAATGCCAATTTCGATGACGAGAGAAGCCTTCTGGTGAGCAACATCTGCAATAGCCATAAAGCTCGGGTAACTCTCTGGAGTTCGAACCAATCTGGAGGCCCCATCTCGCCCGGTTGAAAAGGTGTTGCTCGCTTACATATACCATTAAAAGCTTCGCAACTCTCTTCATAGGTTTCACCAAGGGCAAAGACTTCGTTGCTCTGGGAGGGCCGAATCTCCCTGCATCGTCTAAGAAATTCTTCTAGGCATCGGGAAGCGAGCCCATGTATATTGGTGCACAACTTCAGCACGTCCTGGATCACCGCAGCCAGGATATCTGCAGGATAGATGATCTCAGATGTGTCCCACTTTTGTGGCCCGGGCCGAGACGGCGGGAGCTGGTTCGTCACCGCGTGAAGAATCTCTGGATCAATTGGAAGATTGGCCTCCGATAAGGTGACCACATAAATCGCATACTGGATCCTGAGGCATAAATCGGAGGATTTCAAGCTGTTCACAAACAGCCGCTGAACACACGACTCAAAGACCTTGCTCATCAGCCGAGAGGTTTGGACCAGATTCCCAAGATCGTACACGTGTGTGATACCCTCGAGGATCTTGACTAATATTTCATAGGGCATGCTCTCAAGAAAAGCCATGGTGGAAATCGGAAAGGTATTAACTGATGCAGGACCGGGCAGTGCACGATCGTGCAGAAGCGCTCATTATCGCCAAAACGCAAAGGAAAAGCCCTCGAGGGCTGTCAACCGCGATCTCGAGGCCCGCCTATGGCAACAGCCGTTAAAATGAATGGTGTTTGCTTGATGTAATGAGTGAGAGCAAAGCCTATCGATGCACGGTGTAAAGGTCGTCGACGGGGTCTCCTATCTAGGTATGAGGTTGCTGAGCAAAGTGGGGATCTGATGCACACACGCGAGGGAGAGCAAGCCATCCAGAAGGTCATCATGATCTGGGAAGGCTGGTGTGTCGCTAGGTGTAGCATCGCCACCATCGGAAGTTTTTCTAATTGTTCCCTATAAATTGGCAAGATAATATTCATAACCATGGTACTCATTTTATCCTAAGCTTCGATATCGTTGTTCTTATCCAGGGGTTCACGCACAGTATAGGAGTCATTTGCTGGCCAGAATGACAAAGTCAGTGTCTGATAGAATCGGATTATGGCATGGATACTTCTAGACCCCAAACCTTTTGAACAATAGCGGACTGGGATGGTGCTATTTGATTGGTATATTGTGTAGGGCACCTTGGTTGACTGTGGAACCACAGCAGCGTGGGTTTGATCCGCTGCTTCGGACTCATTTCGGCACGGTGCAGTGCTTCAAATCCCGTGCCGTTGTTTGCACTGCATTCAGAGCAAGATAAGAGCTTGAACTGACTGTGACTGGTGCCAGCATTCACGGGACGGTGTTGTTGTATGTCAGTCTTGGTCCAGTATTCAGAGAAGGCTCCTCATCCTATCAGGGTTCCTGCCTCAGATATAGATATGGATAGCGTTTCGAATATCAAAACGATACTGTGTATTGTAAATGAATTGAGGCACTGAACTAAATCCTAGGGGATGGATCTGCCAGGCACATGCACAAGCGCAGCCACTCAGGCATAAATGTCTCTGGCAGGGCTGTGATCGGCGTCAATAAAGTCGTGAACGCATAGAGAGCATCACCGGGAATGTTGACATGCGAGCGAATCTGTATCCAACTTGGTTAAAAATGTAGATGTGATGATTATTGACGTGCCCTTCGACATGATGATTGATGTGCCCTTTGACCTGGGGAAGCTGGAGGCCAGAATCTTGAGCTTAGTATTGACGTCCTGTTGAGCTGCACGATGGACCGGAGAGATTCTGGTGGATTACAGTGGCCTGGAAACTTGGAAATATGACTTGGCGACTTTTATAAACCCCAAGAAATAAATACTGAATAGCATGACTGATGACAGTGGTGGATCTCCTAGCTGGTAATAACGCTGAAGTATGATTTATATAAAGGTGAAAAACCTCGTCGGTTCTGATCAACGAAGGTTGGCACGGTTGGCAAGTTTACGAAGAATCCTACTTAGTCAGCCGTTTCATTAAACTTTACTTAGTCATCTCAGACGACCGACAACCTTTTCGCCCTTCAGAATTTTTCAGATGTGTCATCTCGTCCCCGTTTTCTCTCCATTTTCTTGATAAGATCCACCCAATGGTTGAAATGATCACCTAAGAACTCACCAGCTGTGGCTAGCCGCTCATTAATAGCGTTATCAAAAGCGCGCTAACGATCTGCCCACTCAACAGTTCCGTAATACCCAGCACCGCCAAACCACCTCCGGCTTAGCAAATATCACCTTGGCTGACGGCTAGCCTAGAAATGGTTTAGCGGTCGTCATAATACATTCGTCTGGACATTTTGGTTAGTGGTGGCCAATCAGCCGAAGACTTTGAACCGGGAGCCAGACTTGAAATCGGGAGCGAGACTTTGATCCGGAAGGCTCGCTCCCGAGTGCTATCAAGAGTCTCCCCTTGGATTGTCATGAAATGAGCGCTTTGGCGCATTTCAAAGAATATTTCTAGGCCTAAAGTGGGCTTGAAGTGGGACTATGAAAGCGCGCATGAGTCTATTTCAACTTCAGTTTGCCCATCCATCTATGGTGTCAATGTCGGCAGACATATCTCGAACGTCATTTTCTCTGATAGAGGCTCCATTGGAGAGGCAAACTCTGAGTTTTTGTTTGTCAAAGACCCTGGGATCAGGAATATCAATGTCTCATCTTTTTAGAACCTTATACTCATTTATATTGTTCATCCCTCTATTTTTCTTAGGGTTTTCTTCAGAGAATGCCCGCCCCACCGGCACAGGTCGGCGGAGTATCTGAATATCGCGATGTCGAGTTAGATCCCATTGAACGTCCGCAGCAGCAAAATGGAGAAGCAGAGGGGGAGAATATTGAAGTCTCCAACAAAGAAAAGGTTTTGCGTCGGAGCCCATCCCAAAGCTCCCTCTATTCTCAGTCCGAACTAGAACGGCTCGGCCGGCAAAGACCAGACAGATTCAAGACGCTTCTATCGGAGATCCTCTTCTGCTTCAGCATCACCATGTCTCAAGCCCTGACGGAATATTTCGTCTCCGGATTCACCGTCATCGTCCCGTCCGTCACCACCGCGTTGGATATTCCCCGGGCGTCGCAGACATGGCCCGCCTCCGCGTTCTCCCTCGTCGTTTCGTCGTTTCTTCTCGTCTTTGGGCGGCTGGCGGATATGTGGGGAGGTTATCCTTTGTATGTCGCAGGCATGGCCTGGCTCACGATCTGGTCCATCGTCGCGGGCTTCGCCCAGAACGAAATCATGCTGGACGTCGCGCGGGCAATGCAAGGATTGGGGCCGGCAGCGTATTTACCTGCGGGACTGATGTTGCTGGGGAGTGTCTATCGCCCTGGACCGCGAAAGAATATCGTTTTTAGCATCTATGGCGCCATGGCGCCGTTGGGGTTCTTTATCGGCATATTTTTTGCAGGTACGTTAGCATCCGATATTGAAATGAACATTACTGAACCAATGCAGGTGTCGCGGGTCAATATACCACTTGGCGATGGTATTTCTTCATTGGCGCGATCCTCAGCGGGCTGACCGTAGTCATTTCCCTCTGGTCCATCCCGTCGGATATCAAGGAACGAAGAGGGATGGGCATCAAAATGGACTGGCCCGGCGCCATCCTGACCTCCATCGGGCTGATCCTCGTCGTCTTCTCCATCACTCAGTCTTCCCATGCGTCGCAACGCTGGGGCACGCCGTACATCTATGCGATTCTTATCGTCGGAGTACTCTGTCTCGTCGCAGCTTTCTTTGCGGAACGAAAGGTTGCCATGCCACTGTTACCCCGAGATCTATTCGCGGTCAAGTATATGAAGCCTTTAATGCTCGCTCTTTTCTTTTCATATGGCTCGTTTGGTATCTTCCTGTTATATGGGACTTTATAGTAAGTGTCTGAAACCGCATTCTTGGAAGTGGCGTATGTTAACAAAGTCTTATAGTATGACTGATATTATGAGCGGCGAACCAATGCAGTTGGTCGCTTGGTTCACTCCCATGGCATTTGGTGGATGCGTTATTGCAACGGGTGGTGGTTTCATCATGCATATGGTCCCTGGGACAGTGTTGATACTTTTTTCTGGGATTGCCTGGATCATTGCACCTCTCCTCTTCGCCATTGCACCTCCGGGAGCCAATTACTGGGCGTATACGTTTCCTTCGTAAGTGCAATTCTCTGTTCGCAGGAGTCTAGCGTCCGCTAACAATGGCTCAGAATGATTTGTGCTACTATTGCAATCGACATCACTTTCAATGTCACGAATATCTTCGTATGTCTTATTGTCCAAATATCTCGCTCAACTCTAACCCCTCCAGATTACCACTTCGTTGCCCCTCGCCCGTCAAGGCCTCGCGGGCGCCATCATCAATTCTCTCGTCCAACTCGGCATCGCCACAATGCTGGGCTTCACCGATGTCATTGTGACCTACACCACCTCCCAAAAAGAAGACCTTCCGCCTATCGAAGAGCTTCGAAGGGGTTATAAAACCGCCTTCTGGTACGAAGTCGCCTGCGCGGGATTCGCGTTGGTCGTGTTGATTTGCTTTGTGAGAATGCAAAAAGCAAAGAGCGAGTTGACGGCAGATGAGCGGCGGGTGCTAGAGGAGGCTTGTGAGGAAGAGAGGAGGGCAAGCCGGATATCATCGGCCGGTCGAGGTCCATCGAATGCTTAATTTCTTCCGTATAATGTACTGTACAGACCCTCGACGGTCGAGATATATTACATTCCAATGAACTATTCCAATGCAACCGATTGCTGGACTAAATCATGAGAATCACTGCATTCCCGCCATCAACTCCGTCCGATCCACAATCATCGCCCTGCTCCCCGCCCACTCCTTCAACTCCTCCCACATCGCCCCCTCCTCCTCCCCCCACCTCTCCTCCTCCTTGAAACCCCACGCACACACGATCCGATCCACCGCCGCCCTCTCCTCCTCGCGCACCCACCGCTCCCACAATGGCACCCCCTGCGCCCACGTCACCCGTACCATATGATCGTTCACCGTCGTGATCGTTACATAGGCCAGCGTCCCCGTCGCCCCGAAGTAGGTTAGCATCCCGCCGAACAGCACCGTCAGCGCAGTGCTCGTCGGCAGAACAGACTGCGTCATGGCGAACTGCGAGGCGCCGATGAAGAGGACGGCGGGGAACGCGCCGATGACGACGGCCGGGGGGAGGGCTTTCTTGAGGAGCTTGGCGCGGCGCTGCGCGGGGGCGGCGGAGGTGGTGGCGATGATGTCGAGGGCAAGGTCAAGATTTTTTGTAGGGAGGGCGGCGTTGAGGGCGGCGACGGAGATGGGTTGCGGGACGGCGGAGTCGGGGGCCGTGGGGTTTTGGGGGGTGTATTCGAGGGGATTGGTGTTTGGGGTGGGGGCGGGTTTAATGGCATAGAGGTGGAAGATTTCGGGGAAGGTGTAGGGGCGGTGGAGGAGGCGTTGGATGTTCGTGTAGATTGCGAGGAGATCTGAGGAGATGAAGACGGGGGGGTGGACCATGAGGCGGTGCGCAAGGGTGGAGAGGACATCGGCTTGGACGGACAGGGACTGCGGGAGGGGGGTGGCAGTTGTATTGTGGAGAGTCAAAAGCGCTTCGGCTTGGGAGATGGAGGACTCGGGGAGGGAGGGGAGGGAAGAGGCGTCGCCGGTAAGGGATTGAGCAGCCCCCTCGATGAGTTTGAAGGCATTCAAGGCGCTATTTTCTGGTGGCACTTGAGATGAAGAAAGGATGGCTTCGCCCGCCTGCTGGGCCTGATCGATCAAGCTGTTCACTTTGGCGTAAGAGCCAGGTTGGACGGTTGTTTCCTGAGGACTCGGCTCTTTTACTGTCGGCGTTGGAGCGTCGTGCGAGCCCAGCAGACTCGATGCCGCTGATGTCGAGCTCGCATACGCCCTGTAGAGGCTAAATGCGACTGGCCGTCTCCGCGATGCATGCCGAATTGAGTTCGAGGCTTCTGAGGCGAGCGACTGGAAAGGCTGTCGTAAAATTCGAGACTGACAACGGAGGCAGATGGTTCTTGATAGAGAGCCAGGGACACGGCTTGAAAGAGCCATTGCGGCGGCTTCTAGGACCTTGAGGTCTGACTGTGAAATCCAAAGTAACAATATATACTAGTTGTATGCAATAATCAAATAACAACAGCGCCTTAACTCGGATTAGGAAAATTCGTGAATAGTATGATCATCGGAGTGTTTTCTGATATTCAGATCTTCGGAGGACGTTGAGAAAGTTTGCTGCGCCACACTTGAGGCTCCTGCGCCACGGGTCTCACAACGTAATGGCGACCTGATTGTGCGTTTCTTCCATCAGATCGCACTTGGATCCAACCAATCTCCTTCTACAAGGCACTCTTCCAATTCCCCGACACGAGAGACTGCTCTTCGGACCCTTGACATCTCTCCCAACTTACGGACGAGTGCCGCTGAGAGGTGTCCATTCTCATGAACTTCCTAACTTGAAGCCACTCCAACACCATGCCTCCTCCTCCACCACCTCCGCCGCCTCCACCACCAGGCCCACCGCCTGCTCCAGGTCCTCCTCCACCTCCACCTGGCGGACTACCCGCAAGAGCTCCAGCGGGACCTGGTCGGGTAGGTTAAGTCGATCTTGAAGCTTGTGGAGCTATAGACTAACTTCCACCAGGGTGCTCTACTCTCCAGTATCCAGCAAGGCGCGATATTAAAGAAAGCGGTTACGAATGATCGAAGTGCTCCGACCGTAGGCCAAAAAGCTGGCAGCTCTGGCGGATCTACTGTTGGGGCACCGCCTGTTCCCGTCATACCTGGTGGACAAAGGAAGCCCAGCGGCCTTGCTCCTCCTCCGCCCGGAAACCGAGCGCGCAGCAGTAGCGATGGCGGGAATGATGCTGGAGGTGGAGGATCCGGACCACCTCAGCTTGCGGGGATTTTAGCAGGAGGCATCCCGAAGCTACGGAAAACGGGTGGGGGCGGGATTAACACAGGAGCGGAGAAGAATTCGCCATATCTGTCAGATCCCGAATCGTCTCGGGGCTTTCGTCCAGCGCCTTCGGCACCGAAACCACCAACCACCCATCGAGCGGCGCCACCCGTGCCTTCAGGCAATGCATCGTTACCCAGCATAGCCGCATTGAAGAGCAACCTGCGCCCGATGTCGATCGCCTCCACGCATAGCGCCCCAGAGGTGGCATCGAAACCGAAACCACCGCCAATTGGCAAAAAACCCCCGATACCCCCTCCCGCATCTCGAAAACCTTCCGCGCATGCCCCACCGCCCCCTTTTCCCGGACGCTCAACGCCCGCTCCTCCATCCGCACCACCGCCTCCACCCGTTCCCGCCCCCTCCGCCCCCTCCGCCCCCTCG